TTTACCACTATTTACCATTATTAACCACTATTAGCCATTGTTATTAACCATCATTAACCATTATTATTAACAATTATTATTAACCATTATTAACCATTATTATGAACCATTATTAACCATTATTATTAACCATTATTAACCATTATTATTAACCAATATTAACAATTATTATTTACCACTAGTCACCATTATTATTAACCACTAGTCACCATTATTATTAACCACTATTAACCATTATTAACCACTAGTCACCATTATTATTAACCACTATTAACCATTATTATTAACCATCATTAACCATTGTTATTAACCACTATTAACCATTATTATTAACCACTATTAACCATTACTATTAACCACTATTAACCATTATTATTAACCACTATTAACCATTACTATTAACCACTATTAACCACATTCTCAGCCACAGCCAGTTGCCAAAAGCCATTGATCACTCCCACGTTTTCCACGGGCTAGTGGCATGATCCATCAGATCTCCATCGGGCTCCTGAAAGGTGATGGAACATTGATGGGAAACCATAGGAAACCCATAGGAAAACCATAGGAAAACCATGGGAAAACCATAGGAACATGGAGGTTTACCCTCTGGTTATGTCAAAATAGCTATAATTGCCATTGAAATAGTAAGTTTTCCCATGAAAAATGGTGGATCTTTCCATATTTTTTTTGTAAGAGTTTACCAGAGGGTGATCATCATCTCTATTAAATGATGATTAAACTATATGGTCATTTATATGGTTATCCACCAGTTTACTTAAAATAATTCTATTTAAGGCATATTATATACCCTCTGGTAAACATCCAAAAAACTATTGAACATGGGTATATATAGTTGATTTACCCATCCAAAATTGTGATTTTCCATAGTTATATTAGTTTACCAGAGGGTAATCATCATCTCTATTTTTTTAAATGACAAGATTTAAGGCATCCTATATTTTCAGACACAGGCCACATAATGACAAACTGGTGGATAGGTAATGATCATCAACATTCACAGTGATTTTAGCATGTTAACCTACTAGAGATGTTGATATTCATTTGGGTTTCTTGAACAGGGAGGACCAACATTATCTAATTCATCGGCTGGTTGGTGGTGCAATAACCATCTTGAAGAATATGAAAGTCAATGGGAAGGATTATCCCATATATTGTGGTAAAAATGTTTGAAACCACCAACCAGTCGGTCATTGTAAAAGAATAGGGCCACCAATGGTGTTGGGGCACCCCAATTTTGAGAAAAACACCCATATGGATGTAGACATTCAAACACCGCCGCCGGCAGTGCAGCAATGCAAATTTCATCAGGAAGCAAGTTCAGGCTAACCGTGTTTTCCAACAGCGCTTTCACCAAATCAACATCATGCTGCTTGGCAGCCATTGCCAAAGGCAAGTCTCGAAGTCCCTCCTTGTTTTCTCAACATGCGGCTAAGCGCCTCCGCAAAGAACGGACAAAATCATACGGTTTTGGCGTCAGTGAGTCGTTGAGTCGGTCGTTTGCTGCAGCGGTATTCAACGGTGTGACCTTCCATATTCCAGGTATATTCCCATCATATTCCTTTTACCATCTGGTTATGACTAACAGTTTGCCATGGAAAATCACCATGCTATTAATAGGTAAACCCAGGTAAACCATCTATTTCTATGGGCCATATATCAGAGGGTAAATCACCATGAGATTTCCATTGTCATCTGATCCCATTGAACATGCGAAATCGAAATCCTCTAATCCCAGTATAATCCCCGTAATTCCCAATATGATCCCATTGAAAATCCCATTATGATCCCATTATAGTCCCATTAAAATGACATAGAAATCACCATTATTATCTCATTACAACTATATCACCATATTTTTGGCGGTTATAGTACGATTATAGAAATCCATAATATGATGATATAATATAATATGGGATTATAAGCATATTACCATCATTATCCATATAATCCCATAATATGGTTACCCTCTGGTTATTTAACATAGCTGTGGTATAGATGGCCCATTTATAGATGATTTTTCCAGCTAGAAACCCCCATTTATAAGGGATTTTCCATGGCTATGTTAGTCATAACCAGATGGATACCAAAAATAATCCCATTATAATATCCATAATAATCCCATTATAAAAATCTATAATATATTACCAAAATTATTGGATATTAAAATGGGATTATTTTTGGCAATATTATCCATTATCATCCCATTATCATCCCATTATCATCCCATTATCATCCCATTATCATCCCATTGAAAATGCCATTGTAATCCACATTATAATTCCATTATGATCCCATTAAAATGACAATCCCATGGTTACAATCCCATGATTCCCCTGTTCCAAACCAGGCGGTCGCGCAAGGGCGAAAGGTGTGATTCCCGTCCTCCCAATTGCTCATCTGCGCCTGGCGCGAGACACGTTAGGCCGAGATGTGCATAAGATCAGTAGTAAATATCAGCAAGATATCAATATGATGTAAAACTGAACATATCATATATATATATATAAAATCATTCATTCATATATATATATTTATACATATCCCGGCGGGTGGGAAACTGCGCTAGTGGTTAGGCATGTTTTCCAGAAAGTGCCCGGCGTTGTGGCGTCGTGCGCATTTTGTCATTGAAATTGTCCACCCCACACCACCCATACCCCAACCCATGACGTAGACGTAGTAGATTGAACGTTATTGTCCCACCCTACACAAACCCCAACCCATGCTGTGCAAGGTAACTTGAACGTGGTTGGCCCGCCCCACCCAAACCCATCCGTCAACGTCATAATATGTTCATTTTCAAGAAATCACACGACTACACGCGTGGTTTTCAAACCGCTGGCAAATATATATATATATAGATACACATTATTATTATAATGATATATATATATAAATCAATACAGACCAAATTATTTTGTTCTTTATAGTCAGCCCCAAAAGATACAAAAGCAATAACACACATCTTTTTGTAGTAGGATCTTACGTTTCTGCCCTTTTGCAAAATTAACGTACAACTGTTATTCAACACACTTCACAAAGGTTTATAACCCGGTTGGTGGTTTCAACCCCTCTGAAAAATATTAGTCAATGGGAAGGATTATCCCATATATTATGGAAAATAATCCAAATGTTTGAAACCACCAACCAGATACATATTATATATAAATATAAAGTCATGATATTCCCATTGTATAACACCTATTAATCCCTATTAATCACCATTAACCACCATTAATCACCAAACTGTGTTCCAAAAATGGCTTCTGAAAGGGCCCCACTGACTTCACCCAATTTTCAGATCATGCCTGAAGTTGCCCTGCCATGATCCAGCAACAGCTGCAAGAAGACTCACTGAAAGACTCGATGTGCTCTTCCATATTTCCAGCGCCGGCTCTGGCCTCACCATTTCTGAAGAATCCTGACCTTGTCTCGTCAGGCATGAACTCCTTGTCGCGGATGGCATCGATGACTCTTTGAAGCTCTCGAAAAGGAGCTGCCATACTGTCCCGAGCGTAAATATTCACGCTTCTGTCTGCTTGGCTCGTGTGGTATCCAAGGCGTCTCACAGCGGCATCAAGGCCAAATTTGGCCGTCCAAGACAGCAACGTGCACTTCATCGAGTGCGTGCACAGCAATGCCACGTCGGGTCTACCTGGCCTTCACCGGCTCGCGAACTGGGGGGAAACCTATCAACCATGGAAAATGCCCCATGGAAAATGGAGGTTACCCAGGTTTAGAGCTGGGAAAATCAACTATCAATATGGGTTTAATAAGTATATACCCCCTGGTAAACTGTTACATAACGAACTGGAAAGATCCACCATTTTTAATAGGTAAACTCAACTATTTCGACTGGGCCATTTTCAATAGCAAACTGTTAGTTTACCAGAGGGTAAACCTCCAATTTCCTATGGTTTTCCTATGGTTTTCCCATTAAAACCTCCATTTTCCTATGGGAAAACAATGTTTTCTTTTGCCATACCCCAACCGAAAGGATCGGCAGAGAAGCCCTGAAGAAACGATGCTGTTTTAAACCTGACCGGACTTTTGGGGTTTACCCGGTTTACCCTTTAAACCTCCATGAGAACAAATAGAATGGTGGATAATGGTGGTTAATGATGGTTAATAGCGGTTAATAATGGTTGATTAATGAGATATCTGGTTGGTAGTCCCAAACATTAATGTTTTTTTATTCCATATGATTATCCCATTCTTATCATCAATCAGATTAACAATTTATGGGAAAATAATGGAATAGTATATTGCTGGTTGGTGGTTTCAACCAACCCTTCTGAAAAATATGAGTCAGTTGGGATGATGCCATTCCCAACTGAATGGAAAATCATAATATTCCATGGTTCCAAACCACCAACCAGATATCTCATTAACAAGTATTAACCACCAGTATTAACCACCATTATCCACTATAATCAAACCATTAATATCCCATTGATTATCCCATTGGTTAATGGTTTATAGTTGATTTACCAATAAAAAATGATATAAATTAACATTCTCAACCATTATCAACCACCATTAACCACCAACCAGATGGTGTTTTTCATCTTTTTGTCGAAATTTTTGGTTCATATCCGCGGCTAAAAAAACGTGGTAGGCGATCCCATGGAAACATCCGTTAGACCAGCCCATCATATATACATGCCTATCTGGTTGGTGGTTAATGATGGTTAATAGTGGTTAATGATGGTTAATAGTGATTGATAGGGATTAAAAAAATGGCAATGCGATAGATGTCCCAAATTCTCATTGGTTGATTTTCATAGAGGAGTTTCTTCAGAACCCCCTGAAAAACAACAGGTTTCTATGATGATAGATGGGATTAACCAGTCACCGGCCCCTCTATTTTTACCAAAAGGACATTATTGATGTGCAATCCCTGCTTTAACAGATGATTTTCGCAGCCATAAGCCTCCATCTATAGAAAATTTCTCAGCAATGTTTGATAACAAATGATACTTGTCATATCCCAGCTTTGTGAATGAATGCCTTTCTGTTTGCGTAAAGCAATCAGTCATGATCTTGGGAGCACCACAATTTATCCAACTGCTTAAGCATCAAGTCCAAAAAAAAAATCTGGTTGGTGGTTTTAACCGTCTTGAAAAATATGAGAGTCAATGGGAAGGATGATCCCATATATGGAAAAAATGATTGAAACCACCAATCAGAACTCCAATTAACAGTGCCAGATCTTGGGCTAAAACTGTTGGGCACCCATCATGGCGAGCCCGTTGATATCCATGTTTTTTTTCTGCATTCACCATTTTAATCACATTAAATCCCCAAATATCCCATGATTCAAAATGGGAGTGTTTAATTGCTAACATTAAATCCCATCAAACCCTAGATCATATGTCCATCGGGGTCACCGAATGAAAAAACCATCCTAGATGAATCCCCATGCCTGGTGGATTCAATCATCTTCAGCAACGGTTTTCTGCTGACATGGTGGCACCCCGAAAAAAACATTCGGTGATGACCATAACTTTGAAACTTGAAACCCCTAAAAATTAAGGGAATCCCTCCATTTTCGGACATGTCCAGCAAACATCATTACACCATATCCCTTCATATCATTACTATCCCGTTATTAAATCATTCTTATCCTTATCGAATCCTATAAATGGCAATTTTCCCTATCACCATCATTGGTAATTGGTAGCCCCCAAATGGTAACAGCTTCCATTCTTCCCAGTTCCTATCTCCATATCCGATATTATAGGTGGTTTATCCCAATACCCTCTGGTAAACTGTTACATAGCTATGGAAAATCACCATTTTGTAGCTGGGTAAATCCACTATTTCTATGGCCATTTTCAATAGCTATTTTGACATAGCCAGGGGGTATTGGGTTTCAACCATCCAAGGTGCAGGATTTCTCCACCCACAGTATCTCCATGACCCGCGCCTTGGCGTCCGGCTGCCAGGGTGGTGGGAAGAAGCCACCAGCCAGGGCATCCCAGTCGAACCTGTTTTCGCAGAAACTGGACATGTCCATTGCCATAATTTTTAATGGTATATTAATGGGTTTACTATGGTTTAATATTTTGGATAATTTTGGATCATAATAATCCCTAATATCACTAATAATGGGATCAATAATGGGATCAAGAATGTCACTAATATCACTAATATCACCAACTAATGTCACTAATGGGGAAATTTTGATTTATGTTTAATAGGATAATAATGGTATCATAATGGTATGATCATGGTATGATAATGATGTGGTAATGGTAAAATATCACCAGTGAATATGGGGATATAATTTTGGATTATTATAATCCCTAATTAATATGGTTTAATAGGGATAATAATGGGATAATGGGATAAATCATGGGTTCATTAGCCATTGATCAGGGGGATAGGGTTCATAGGGGATATTGGAATAATCATTGATTTCTTCACATCACCAGTGAATATGATGAGAACCATGGCTTCAAAATGGCATAATTATGGGAGAGTCATGGGATATTAATGGTACATTAATGGATAGACCCTCTGGTAATTTGTTACTGTTACAGTTTGCTATTGAATTGCTAAGCCATTTTATGATTGATTTAGCGAAAAAAATGGTGATGTTCCATTTCGCAAACTGTTCGTTTACCAGAGGGTAGTAATCATTAGGAATGAGTATGATCAGTAATATCCGTTAGTAATCATTAGTAATCATTAGTAATCACTAGTAATCATTAGTGATTATTGAAACTGGACATATTTCCACGAATCATGCTTAATAGTAATCATTAATTCGTGATCACTAATAGTTATTAATTATCCATGAGTGACTAGTGATCATTAGTAATCATTAATGTCTCACGAGTATCCACTAATAATCACACTAATAATCACGCTAATGATTGATATTTGATTCACAAATGCAGCTATTGTAAAATCCATTCTTGGAGATATCCATTCATATCCACTAATGATTAATATCCACAAAAATGGACTAACATTGTGTGTAATCATTAGTGGAATATGATGTAATGATGATAATGATAATAATGATTACCAACAATGGTTATTAGTGGAATATCACAAGTAAAAACACCAATGATAATAACGATGAACAACTATGGAATTAACTAACAAATCTTGTGACTTCTTGGGGGTGCAGGCCAGAGGTCACTGATGTTTACACTGTTTTATGCTCAAAAGAAGGACTGAAACCTAAGGTTTAAAGCCAAAATCGTTCCCCCTGATCAAGTCTGCAAGCTGACACTTGGTGAACTGCCAATGCCACGTAGACCTGCCTCCAAAATCGCACAGAAACTATTGCTACACCGGTACCTTTCTCACTATTTCTCACATTGCCTTCACCTTCTGAACTTCGGCCCAAGCTCTCGGCAACCTCAGCGAATGGAAGGCGGACGGAGCTGTGTCCATTCATGCAGCGCGCAAACTCTTGCCAGCTCGTAGCATGACACAGGTCAGCCGCTACAAAATTCTCCGCCAGCACTTGCTGCTCCCGGCAGTTCCACCCAGCGCAGATGACGACAGCCACCCACGTTGCACCTGGCTCTACCTCCGCAAGGCTACGCACACCGTTCGCCGCAGTTAGGCACAAGCCGAAAGCGGGCCTTTCTTCGCCACAGTGCCACCAATGTCTTTGGCTTATGTTTCTTTTTTCCTGTGCACAAATCTTTGGAGCAGCTGCCGCAGATGATGATGCCATCGGTTTTTGGAGCCTGCAAGTACTGCAGCTTTTACAATGACAAGTTCATCAGACAACAACCTTCAAGCTGAAACTGATTCAAAGAACATGTCAAAGCAAAGAAACATGCAGGGATCACCTTCTTTGGTCCTTGCTCCGGTTCTGGCACCTTCTTCGGAGCAGGCTTCGGTCTTGCCTTTTGGCAGGATGACCGTCTGATGATGTTCCTCCTTCCGGTCCAGCAATATGTGTAGAATTTCGGGTCGCTCTTCTCTTCCGTATTCGGCAAGTTCGCTGGAAGGATATCGCGGAGGGATGCCCCTCACTGGCCATGAGGGAAAATGACATGCCGAGCCATTGGATAACCAGGGGCATCGGCATCCTATTTTCAAGAAAAACTTGCAGATTTGCATGCCTAAAGACCATGAGATTGATGACTGGTTGGTGGTATACCTACCCCTCTGAAAAAATGCTTTCAGTTGGAATGATTATTCCCAATATAGGGAAAAGTAAAACATGTTCCAAACCACCAACCAAATGAGATTGATGATGATCCCTCAATATTCTTCATTAATATCCCAGTAGCCTCCCCATGGTTTTACGGACACGAACAGTATGATTATGTATGTTTCTTAAAATGGTGGTACCCTCTGGTAATTTAACATAGCTATTGAAAATGGCAATTTATAGTTGATTTCCCATTGAAAAATATTCCGTAAAATCATGGGGAGGCTACTGGGATATTAATGAAGAATATTGAGGGATCATCATCAATCTCATCTGGTTGGTGGTTTGGAACATTTTTTACTTTTCCATATATTGGGAATAATCATCCCAACTGACTAGTTTGTATGTTTACCAGAGGGTAATCCAAGTCATTGGACCATGACTTAGTATTGAAACAACCATGGTGACTTGGGGATTCCCCAGGCCCATGGACACCTGTGTATCTTCATTACTAGTTGGTTGATAGGTTTTCCCTACGGCTATCATAGTCCCCAAGCAATGTGGTAGTAAAAGTGCCAGCAAATGAACCAATCAATCAAGGCATTTTTTAATGATTCATTATATTCGTAACATTCATCCCATAAACAGTTATCATTCTTCCATATTAGTTTCATATCATTACATGTATTAACCCCTCACATCATATTTCATTCTCTCAGTTAAACCATTGATCAGCATCATTAACCATCATTGACCATCATTAACAATCAAAAACCGTTAAACCACTACAAACCATTATACATCACTAGATACTGTATCACTATCAATCTCCATAAAAACTGAACTCATCCATAATAATCTCTTAGAAATCATCCATAGATAATTACTGTAGAGTATCACTATTATGAAATCGCTATCAATCTTCATAGATAATTAAAAGAATCACGAACTAATTCCATTTACCCTCTGGTAATTTCACATAATTAGCTATGGAAAATCACCATGTGAATAGGTAAATCACCATTTTTTCATGGGTAAATCCACTATTTCCCAACCATTTCACCACAATGTGCTTCATTTTCAAGCATTTCCCAACCATTTCCCAAGCGGTCCCAAGCGGTCCAGCGTCTGGGCTCCCTGGCGACTTGAACCAGAGATGTTTCTTGATCTCCTGGGAGCCCAGACGCAAATCTGCAGGAAAACCCATCAAAAGCCCGGTGAACTTTTATCTTTAACTGGTTGGTTAATGGTTAATAATGGTTAATAGTTTTTTAATGATGGTTAATCATTGATTAATTGTGGCTGGTTGGTGGTTGAGCCTATCCTTCTGAAAAATATGAGTTCTTCAGTTGGGATTATGACATTCCCAATATATGGAAAGTCAAAAAATCATGTTCCAAACCACCAACCAGTTATTCATGTTCCAAGAATTTCCAGCTATGATCTGCCCTCATTTCTGGTCACGTGAACACACCAGTGGAAAAACCAGAAATGGTTTTCCAGATTCCCACCAATCTTAGAGGACCAACATCCCAAATTTCTCTACCCGATGATTGGGTGCAACTTTTAATGAGAAAATCCATCTATAAATGATGGATTTTCCATTGCCCAGGTTTGATTCCCTGAGGCTGGGCTTTTGTCAAAGCGTTTTTATCCAGAGGCTTTCCCAGCACGAGTCACCTTCAAATCCCAGGTTTTGATTTTCATCTTTGAACCATGGCAAAAGTATTAACCATATATTAACAAGTAGATTGCAACCACTCTATTTACCATAGTGCTTCAATTCAGGTCATGACTCAGTGATACGCTAGGAACAATCTCAGATAAAATCAACATGTTACTTTAATAATAGTGACTAAGCACAACTAGTGGCTTTAAAAACCAATTACAAATTGAATTGAAGATATGGTTTGAAGTTTGAACATTATTAACCACTGTTAACCACTACTAACCACCACCAACCAGCTATAGCTTTGGTGAACATTACCAGTACATTGAGCATCTCCTGTGGTGGTGAACACGTGAACACCTCCAGTGGCGATACACCCCTGGCGATACCAGTTGCTAAACGGAAACAATCCTATGAGTTTTCATAAATATGGGAAAACAAAAAACAGTACACTATTAGGATACTTAAATTATACTATTATGGGTTGTTTGTTTTTTTGATTTAAGGAATATAATAATCGCCAAACAACTAGTTGGTATAACCCCGGGACCCCGTACATTAACACGTCAACAAAAGTAGTTTTAACCAGTATTGCAACTACTTGACCATAGGCATTGAATATTGACAAAATGAATATTACCAAACATAATATATTATATTATATATTTTATCATCTGGTAATCTAAGATAGCTATTGCAAATCACAATATTTAGTATGCACACCTTTTTTCCCCACATCCTGTGCTCTGCACTCATGGCTTCCTATTGGCGCCAGTGGATTCCATCTGGCACACTGGACACATGTGATGGCCAGCCATTGGCCAGGAATTCATGTGTAAACGGCTTATTCTCCACCAATTTTTCACCGGCTTCCGGATCAGCAAAGTCGTGCCAAAAGGCTTGTTGGGACTGAAGCAAGCTCATGAAGTCAAGTGCCACGGGACGCTCAGATCTTCTTCACGATCGCTTTGTCGTCCCAGACATCTCCTGCCACTCCTGGCTTCGTCTGCCTTGGATCCTCCGAAATCCGGGCTCCGAAGGCTGCGTGGAACTCCGGAACTCCGCACCTTTCAGCTCGCAGGGCACATTTGCGGATGCGTCTCTGGGCTGTTAGGGATTCAGACAAGCGTGGCTAGTTGACTCATTGGTTTTTTTCGACCCGTCTTGAAACACGGACCAAGGAGTCTAGCACGCCTGTAAGTTCTTGGGTAGCATGACATTGAAGAAGTTGATGAACTTACAACATCTTCAATAAGAATAGCAAATTATTATAATATTGGTATATTAGACATATTAGGTAGATATTGCAACCCCTGATGTTTGCTTCGTTTGCATCTCACATCTAACATCGCATCTCGGGTTGCATTTTTTCTGCCAAATGATATCGCCGAGCACACAGGGCAACAGCATGCCGTTTGGTAGTTGCCTAGGTAGGCAGCACGAGTAGCCAAGGCAAACAAATCAGAAATTATCAACATCCTGTGTTTTTTCTCGATTATATCCTATTCCATCACATCTGCTGTTAGTTAAATACAATGAAACATCAACTTAAATACCAATAATCTAAGAACATAGGATCATATCCCAGTTGATAGTCTCTACCCTCCTGTCTTTAAACGTTTAAATAGATGTGGGAAACCCACCATTTTTATGTAGATCATTTTCCTTAGAGAAACAATAGGTTTTCATCGCTTTTCCACATCTATGGACGTCTATCCTATGCTAATCATTGGGTATATCTAGTTGTTGGTGGCATTGCGCATTATATTCCCATTAATATCCAATCATTATCCCATTATCCAAGTGTTCGGTTTACATTAACCATCATTAACCATTACTAACCATTACTAACCATTATTAACCAATATTAACCAGTATTAACCATTAGTAACCGCCATTCACCACCATTCACCACGTTAACCACCATTCCCCAGCCATCTCCACTTGGTTTTGCTGGTTGCCACAGCCACATCCTCGCCTTGGCGCCGCCGGGTCCACCACCCAGGCGCCGTCCGGGGCGGCGTTCCAAGAGGCCCGACAAGACCTGGCGCGGGCTGGCGTCGCGAAAGGCCCGGTGATTTTGACCATCAAAAAAACATCAACAAAACAATTTTTTAGTGGATTATCCATTTTGATTACTTTTTTCAATGGATAAATCCAATTGTGATTAAACCAATCAAGTGGATTTATCCATTAAACAAACCACAGTGGATTCATGGGGATGAATGGTGTTTTTCTCCATGAAAAAATACACCAAAAAACCAGCATGGTCCACGATTAAACAATGATTTTACCATCAAAAAAGGTTGGTGATTTAACCATCAAAATAGTTCATCAGCAAAGATGGTGATTTTACTAAAAACGCTGTGATTTTAATGATTTAATGAAATAAGAACGGGGATAATAATGATTGCAATGGGATTATAATAGGAAACCAATCATCATGGGAATGCAATGAGGCATAATTTTGATTGTTTTTCTTTAAGGATAAACCTACAAATCCACTGAGGCAACCATTGATTTTCCAATCAAATATAGGGGCTTCAAAAAATCCCGTGATGCAAAACATCGAGTTCCCTTGATGAGTCGCTCACCGTCGATCCGCACGATATTCAACTGCTTGGTGGTTTCAACCAACCCTTCTGAAAACATGGAACTGGTTAATAATAGGATGATAGTGGTTGATAGTGGTTAATAGTGGTTAATGATGGTTAATCATTGGTTAATTATGGTCTGGTTGGTGGTATACTAACCCCTCTGAAAAATATGAAAGTCAGCTGGGATTATTATTCCCAACACATGGGAAAAACACATGTTCCAAACCACCAACCAGTAAACACTTTCAATTTTGGACCCAGCCCATGGGTTTTGTGGAAGATCTACAGGAAACCAGGGTTTTTACCTCCAAATACACAGATTTCCCTACACCCAAGTCTAGAATTACATTCAGCATCACCCATTAAATGGCATGGCCAGTATGGGGATAACTTGAGCTACATGCATATATCATTTGGGAATGCAGTTGGTTATAAACCCCACAAGTGGGAATAGAAACCCTATGATTCTATATCCACCTAAAACTTGCACTGCACTTCCAAGTATCCGACATACAGTAGTCATTTTTTTGCTGCTAACGTCACCATGCTTGCCGCATTTTGCTTGACAAAAATCGACAACCATCGTGGAACATCACCAGGGCCGGATGCTTCTCGCAAAACGAAACAAATTTTAAATTCTTTAGTTTCCCAAATCATTTTAAGATGAATGGAACAAAATGACGAAACTGAAGATATCTGGGTTTACATCCCGAAGAAGAATCAGATATATCTGGTTGTTGGTTTTAACCTTCTTGAAAATTATGAAAGTCAATGGGAAGGATTATCCCTTTTTTATTGTGGAAAATAATCCATTCATGTTTGAAACCACCAACCAGTATATCTCATTAACCATGATTAACCACCATTATCCCATGATTTTCATGACTTTTCAGATCCATAACTGTGGATTTTGGATCCCGGATCATCCCAGTCATCCCACCTGCGTCGCATCGTCGGGCACGTAATTGGGAAAGGTCAAGGGCGCCTCGAAAAAAAAACAAACAGTGGATTCATGGGGATGAATTGTGTTTTTTTCTTGAAAAACCACCATTAATCCACTATTAATCCATTAACCCACCATTAACCCCAACTTGTCACTAGAATTTGTCACAGCCACTGCTCAAATGATGCGACCCATTAGCGACCAATTTGTCACAACCCCTGGTGGCTTGAAGCGCCTCGTTGATCGCTGCGAAGAGCTTCATTTGATCCTAGAAACGTGGCCGTTCAAGTTTGGCGAGGACTGTTGAAACACCACTAAAATCCATGACTTTCGGAACTGATTACGGTCCATGGTGTTTCTATCCAATGACGTTACATAAAATATATACCCCAATGTTTCCAATTTTTCCGGTGTCTCAAACTGGATATGTCGAAATCCTGGGGTTTCTTGGATACATCTCCATATCCCCACGCGCTTATTTTGTTTATTTTCATCATATTCCCATGGGGACTGAGTTATTCATGGCGAAAATATGTGTGATAATATTCTACACTAGTGTTAAATTTGTTATCCCAATGATTCCTCACTATTTGTTGATGTTTTACATGCATTGTCCTAGACATGGTATGAGTTACTGATCGCTTACGCTCTGGCATTTGCTATGCGCCATTCTCATACAGTATCTCGTCGCATATAATTGAACTAATTAGGGGTAGAGTCTCACATCATGTGGGCAATTACTCATACACAGTATCATTTGGAGAATCCAATAATGTGGTATGATGTGAACTCTACCCCTTTCACATCTGTATAATTGTGGTTCAAAGTATCTCAATGACAACAATGACTTATGAACCATCAATCTTGTTTCATCGCGATTTTAGTCACGCTCCAAACATATCTTTTGGCCGGGCAGTAAAAACCCACATCCATGGCAAACAAACAGCTCTTCAGAATACACAGGTTTTCCTTGCCAATGTAATCGATGTATCCATGTATCAACCATCTCTATATATATATATAAATAATTATCTACAAGTGTATATATATATAATATGAATAGATAACTAAATATAACTATAAAAAAACACTATATATTTATATACAACTGAAACTATATATATAACTAATTAAAAAACTATAAATAAAACTATATAATATACCTAAAAATAAAACAATATATAAAATATAACTATTTAAAAACTATATGTTTATATACCCATATACATATAATATCACATTGAAAAAACATGTATAAAATATAATTAGATCTATTACTGTATCTATCAATACAAATATAACTATATATAAAAATGTAACTATACATAAAACTAGATATAGAAGTAATATATATATATAACTAAATATAAAACTATATATTTATGACTATATAAAAAACTATCCATATAAATAAATAACAAAATATATACGTATAAACAATAACTATATATAAAAAACTAGAGGTAAAAAACCTCTAAATATAACTTTTTACAACTACATATATATATATAACTATTTAGAATATAATTAAAAATAGCTATATATATAAAATAACTATACATATAGCTTTATAAAAAATAACTATATATATATAACTATAGATAAAACTATATATAACTATATCAAGCACTTATACAACTATAAATACATATATATATATATATTTTGTTTTTTTGAATATATAACTACATATATTTATACAACTATAAAAAACTATATGTATATAAAAAACTATATACATAACTGTATATAACTACATATAGATACATAAGTACATATACATGAAATTATATATATATATATATATATCTGACAATATTATATATATAACTATAAATAAATGATTGCATATATGACTATATATATAACTATATATATAGCTATATCATATAAAAAATAACTATATATTTATATAACTATATATATATAACAATATGTATATATATATATATATATGTGTGAAATATCATATATATATATGTGTGTTCCACATACACTGTAGCATGTATCAAACACATACTCAGGCTGATTCAGCCGCAAATTAACCCGCATAAATCAACCCTGGCAATTTGGGGGCTTGCCTTTGCCTCAGCCTCCCCAGGGCCCCTGACCTGCATTATTTCTAGTGACGCCCCAGTGAGCTCGTGATCAACGTGCAAACACATATACAGCAGCATATGCAGATACATCATCTTGTAAACCTATCTAAATCCCATATCACTATGTTTTGTAGTTCCCACACGGTCTCATCATTCATAGACTCCTGGTTGGTGGTATACCTACCCCTCTGAAAAATATGAGTTCGTCAGTTGGGATGATGACATTCCCAGTCAACATGGGAAAGTCATAATCCATTCATGTTCCAAACCACCAACCAGACTCTATCCAGATTTCCACGGTCCTCCTCTCCAGCCCCGAAAGGGATAGGCCCCACGACGAACCTGGTCCCGGGCTCGGACGCTGCCCGCGACGGGCTGGGGCTGAAGATGGGAGATGCAAATCTTGAGGCAAAGAAACGACCGTATCTTTCTCTGTGGAATGTGAAAACGTGCCATCTATATATATATAAATACATAACATACTGTGTGTGTATATATATATATTTATTTATTTATTTATTATGTATCAATTATGTGTATATATATATATATCTATATGTAAAAACACTTGGACTGGCATCTGTTTGTGATGGTTTGGTAGGTTTCATTTACTCGAGTATCGGACTATTCAGACTCGACCTTCAAGTTTGGGGGTGATTTTCGGTTTCCCAAACTTTGGAAGCCTCAGAATCTCTAACGTGAAGCTAAGTCCATACCAAGTTCAAATTCTGCGATAGCCAGTGCGTTGCTTGGACAGACTATTGCAGTATCCGAACAGGTTTCTCTCTCATTTTCCAAAAAGGGAAACCGTAGTACAATTTGATATCTTATCCTCTGGCAATCCAGCAATTGGAAACTGACCCCTTTTAGTGGGAATCTATTCCCAGAAATAAGTATTGTATTTTTAGAATATATTCCCATCACCTTCCCCTTTCACCTGAACCATCTGAGCATGAAGAGTCTGGTGACAAGGCGGAGCTGCGGTTGAACCTTTGAGGCACCGCTATTTCTGGGAACCTTCTCCAACGAAACTGTGGGGACGCTCATGACTGCCGGTAAGCGGGGCATCGCCTCCTTTATGAGGCGCTTAGGCCCCAGAGAAGTGACAATTTTGGCGTGAGGGCGCGACTTGTAGCAGCTAACCACTATGTCACCGTGCTTGCATATGGCCTGCATCACCTTGTGCCATTGCTCGTAGATCATTTCTGCGCAGTCACACACTGACCTGGCCTCATTGGCAGAGCTGATGGGAGTCCACGACTGTAGCGCCCTTGTGCCCTGATGAGCCAACTGGTACGGTTGCGGTGGCCTGTCACTCACTGCCTTCACAGGCTTCGCTTTCATGGCCTCAATGCCACTATAAATACACATCCTTCTTCCCTGGGGCGCACGCGGCGCGCACCAGCAGGAATTGTGACAGGTTGAGGGCGATTTCGTCCTCAGACAACGCCGTCCAAGCAGGCTCAGCTGAACTGACAAAACCCATTCTTCAGATTTCATGTGCGATTTAGCGGGGTATAATTCTCATGCTGCCACCTAAACAAACAAAGAACAAGGCCACCAATGGTCTACACATTAGACGTATGCGTGATATGTATAATATGTAATATCATATTGTCTACCAAGTGTAAGACTGTTTCTTGTCCCAAAAAATGTTTTAGTACAGGATATGGTTGTTTTGGGTTTCACGTTCAAAATGGTGGGTGCATTATTCTTATCACTTGTTCTCGGGAGTTGTACCTGCCCACCGCAACTGGTTCAACTGGGACTGAAAAATCGGAGATTTACTCCAATTTATACTAAAATATTCCCATAAATAAGTACGGTATTTTTAGAATATATTCCCACCATTTCCCAGCATTATAAATACAGACCAGTAACCCTCGAAATCTTATGCTGGGAGGCTTACTGGTTGTTCTGATAAGCTCCGAGGTTCCTAAGCGAAGCTCCAAGAACCCGGAAGACATGACATCGCTACCATAGAATTTAAGTGTTTCCTTAGAAAAGGAGAACTTGGACAACTTGATAACTTCTAATTCCTGGAAACAAAGTGAGGAAATTGCGAAAGATCATCGAAGATCCCAATGTTGAAAGCACAAAATCCTTGGACATTCATCCAAACTGCCCTATGACTAGTTGGGGCTTTATACCTAGTATATCCCCAGTATGGGTATGGGTTTATATATACGTATGTTGATATTGTTGGCTTTATCCCCATATCTCACAAGATATTCCAACTAATAGCTATGCCAGTCATGTGCAATTCCTTGGGTCAACACCCTCACCTAAAAGGTGGCGCCGCAGAGTTGGCTCAGTTGGTACCTCCAATAGCCTGGGTTTATGGTACATATCTCTATACTTAATGGTGGTTAGAAACCAACAAACATGCATTGTGGCCATGGGCACAATGTTACTTGGCAAAGGGCAATTATGGATTGACGCACCCCTATCTGGGTAAATAATAATAATAATTCACAAACCGGAATCTTGCGGCCATAAAAGGGGATGATTTCCCTTGAAAAAACCGTGATTCCAGGGCTCGGTCGAACAGTGAGGTCGTTATAATTTACCAAGATCCCATTATATACACCATCATTATCCCATTACATACATTATATACTTTGTCCCATTATACTATAAAAGGGGATGATTTCCCTTAGTAACCATGATGAACCAGGCTTCGGGAGAACCCTGGTCTCGGTCGGATCCCTATGAAACTGGACTCCAGATGTCTGGATGAATCCCGTCCAAACGGCTGGTTAATTGGGGGGGTACCATAAACAATCGTATTGGATGAAATGTCTATTGGAGGAGTACCCCCCTAATTTTCATAAACCATGGTTTAGCAAAATTCGGGCTTGGCATTATAGAAAAACCAAAGGCTATGGGAATCAATCCTCACGAAATTTCATCATGTCATCACCCACAAACACTTGAGCAGTGTGGAAAGCATTGTGTCCATTTCCCCGTGGATTATGATACTCCCCAATATATGAAGGGTAGTATAACCCCCAAACTAATCATCAACCAACCAACTATGTTATTATATCCCCAACATGAAATATAGATCGCTAATGATCACTATTAATAGGCTTCATTCTACATTCCCTATCCCCAACTATGATGATTATAATACCATCACCAACTATGAGACTATGATCGTATTTTGTGATATAACCCCATATGATTGTAATACCATCAACGACTATGTTATTGTATCCCCACATCTGATCATCAACAACTATGATCATCAACTATATCCCCATATTTTGTGATGGTATTTTCAGTTATAATCCCCATCATGGAAAAATCCGATGTTTGATAGCTCATCACCCTCTATTCATCAATTATTAGTCACTTATCCTTATGAATCATGTTTTTTGGCTAATCATCTGGATCAGGATATTGTTATTCATCATCATATTAAAATAATTATTATTGATCATCCCAATACTTTTAGGGATATCCACAATTGGGATAACCCATAAAACAGGGATGATAACCATTAACCTATGTATCACCACTATGGGTATTAACATGGTTAACCATAACATGGTGTATAACCATTATTATCGTAACTTTGTTTTTGACCATATTATCAATAATGAATATAATTACAACATTTTGGGAAATCCATAACAAATGCATTAACCATGCAATTTATCCCTTTTGTAGCACCATCATTTTTCACCGCCTCTTTTTCGGTGGCCGAGGAACTCGTAGAGCATGACCCCAAGGGACCACCAATCGATGCTTTTGGTGTAGCCCTTCCCCTTGATCACCTGGCGTTGTTGGGGGAGATGGCTTTTGGATCGGATAACCGGGATTTTTTTCGTTTTTTTTTTTGAAAAATATGATCGATGATAAAGATGCATATACTGACTAGGATTCTGACTATGATTTATATGATGATTATCATGCTTAAAGTGATAATTAATCACAATGATTATGAATATTCTGACCATCTGATGTTGGTTGGATGAGATGTGGAATGATATGCACCATCACATGCAACACTATAAAATGAATGATTTTGAGGAACCTCCATATCTACTAACATTGAAAATCCAATGGAATGAGCTTCATCAATGGCTGACGCATCAGTAGCAGCCTTTCCATTTTCCCTGGATGTAGCTTCCATGATATTTTTCCCTTCAATTTTTCGCTTTCCACCGGTTTCGCCACTATTTCGGGCTTGCAAAAAAACCTAATAAATATGGGTTTGTCTGAAAACAGGCTACCAAACACTTTCCAGTGGATTACCATCATTTTCCCTCTTAGAAAACCAAGTTGGGATCATTTGCGTGTATACTTTATTTATATATATAGAGGATATATATGCCATATATATCTAAAGTTAGATTTCACATTCCCGCTCCAGCTCAAAGGTACGTGTCTCCCTCAAAAAAATTGCTTTTCCCTAGATCTAGTATATTACATGGTTGGGATTGCATAGGTGTATATATATATATATGATGAAGCTCAAAGCTACCTTGCTGGCTCACTGCCTCCTTGCTAGCTCAAAGCTCAAAGCTACCTTGCTGGCTCAGTGCCACGTAGCTGGCTCAGTGCCACGTAGCTGGCTCAATGCCACGTAGCTGGCTCAGCGCCTCGTAGCTGGCTCAGCGCCACGTAGCTGGCTCAATTTTTTTAGCGAAAAAAAAAAAAAGAAAAAAAAAACCTCGCAGAAATTGAGCCGGCTACATGCCCTTGAGCCGGCTCGCCAATGCGTCATGAACCCGGCCAATACATAGCTAGTATTCGTTTTGATGCTCTCACATTCGTCCGCCAGCTCAACGTGACGTAGCTGGCTCAATTTCTGCGAGTTTTTTTTTTTTCGCTAAAAAAATTGAGCCAGCTCGATGCCATTGAGCTAGCTCGATGCCCCTGAGCCAGCTACGTGGCATTGAGCGAGCTCGATGGTGCTGAGCCAGCTCGTTGCAGTTGAGCGAGCTCGCAGAAACTTCCCAATCTGTTAAATTGCATTAAATTGCCAGGTTCAATCCCCACTGATTACTTTAGTACTAGATATGGTACCTCTGAAAAAGCCCAAGGTGACTGTCAAAACATACCCCTGATGAAATTGAGCCAGCTACATGTTTTGAGCTAGATCGAAAAAATGGAAGATTGGGAATTCCAACATTAGAATATAGAGATATGTATACTTAGTCATTTCTCTATATATTTCTCTCTCTCTCTCTATATATATATATACATTCGTCTGTATATATATGCCATTAAATCACCTGTGAAATTTCCATGGAAAACCACCAGCCATGATATTTCATGGTTATCACCCTTCATGAAAAACCATCATTTGAGTGATTTTAGTGATGGTGAAACCATCATTTTATATTTACCATGAAAAAGAATCAAATTTCCAGATACATTCCATGATATCCCTATAAGATGACGGTTAAATCATCACTTTCTATTCCCATAGACCATCATGATTTCCCCACTCAAATCTCCCATTCGTTTTTCGCCTCCGGTGCCAGGTACTCCGGCGTTCCCACCAAGGTGTTGGCCCGGATCTCCTCCGCCCAGCATTTTTCGTGAGAAAACGCACCACAAAATCGGGGTGAAAAGTACAGGAGAAATACCGGATTTCGACGACCCACCAGCGAAGCGCTTCGGCGTCGGAGAGCCCGCCTTCTTGCAACAGCCGAAGTCCACCAACTTGGCGCGACCCGCGAAGTCCAGAAGAACCTGGACGTCGCTATCGTCGAAGTGGGAAAACGCCATGAAACACAGTGGGCAAAACCATGAAACATAGGGGAGATCAACATCCAAAATAGGGGTTTCAAATAGTTTTAATCAATTAAAACATATGTCCTTAAATGAGGATATATGGTCAGTATCACATGAAATACTTCAAGCTTTGGGCGCAGAATGCAGAGATCTAATATCTAAAGCAAGCTTTCGACTGGGGATATTCAATGCCGCTGGAAGGGAATTATATAGGATCGATGTGTGTGTGTGTGTGGTCAATATATGCGATACATTTAACTGGTTTATCATGGTTCCATATCTTACTTTGAATATGGGCTTTGATCATCAAACACATAGGGATATAATTCGATAAGTGATCCGCTTGGTAGTATACCTACCCCTCTGAAAAATATGAGTCAGATTGGATCATCATCCCAACGATTGGGGAAAATAAAACATCTTCCAACTCACCAACCAGAATATCTCATTAACCATTATTAACCACCATTAACCATCATTAACCACTATTAACCACTATTAACCATCATTAACCATTATTAACCACTATTAACCATTATTAACCACCATTAACCATCATTAACCACTATTAACCATCATTAACCACTATTAACCACTATTAACCACTATTAACCATCATTAACCATTATTAACCACTATTAACCACTATTAACCATCATTAACCATTATTAACAACTATTAACCAGTATTAACCAGTATTAACCACCATTAACCATCATTAACCGCTATTAACCACTATTAACCATCATTAACCATTATTAACCACTATTAACCATTATTAACCACCATTAACCATCATTAACCACTATTAACCACTATTAACCATCATTAACCATTATTAACAACTATTAACCATTATTAACCACCATTAACCATCATTAACCGCTATTAACCACTATTAACCATCACTAACCATTATTAACCACTATTAACCATCATTAACCACCATTAACCATCATTAACCACCATTATCCCATGATTTTCACGACTTTTCAGATCCAGACTTCATCACCAAGCAGTGATGCTTGGTGAAAATCCAGGGAACAAAGTCTGGATCGCTAACCGCAGCATGGCTACCCCGTGGCTCCACGTACCCAGAGGGTCAGGGGAAGCCTTTTCAAGGATAGAACAAAAAAACGAAACCACCAGCCAGTTATGCTGTACTTGACTCCTGCGCTTTGTTTGCAGGGTAAAAAAAAGTCGAACATCCCCAGAAATTTCGATGAGGATACTTCGCACTGGGAAATCCAGGAGACATTTCCGGTACCTCAATCGAAGGCACCGGTTACTTACTTCCAGCTTGTCCCGAGATTGGGAAGCAAGCGCCCTATGGTCTAGAAGCATCTAAACCATCAATCTTCATAAGACCACTGTAAGCCCAAAACCAATCAGACATGATGATGTCTACCATATCTTCGTAAATAGCAGCATTTTTCACCATCATCTATAGTTGAAATCCCCACGATTTTGTTTTACCCTCCGATGAACTGTTACATAACTATGGAAAATCACCATTTTCAATGGGTAAATCCACTCTAAATCCCTGTTCAATAGCAAACAGTTGACATAACCAGGTTGGCTAATTTTCCCCAGGTGGGTTATCATAGAATTCATCCATAAATCTGCTGGGGGTGAACCGGGCAATCCGAGGCACGTTCTCAGGTTTCAGGTCGCGGTACATGATGCCACGGCCGTGCAAATACTCAATGCCTGGGCATCCGTGGCAGAGAAGCCGCTCGAAGCCTCACTGAATTGGGATGATTTGAGAAAATGATTGTTTATCCAAAATTGACGATGCATATCCATCAATAAATCCAAAATTGACTGGTATACCATCTATCATCATTTACCTGTTGTTTTACAGGGGTTTCTGAAGAAACCCCTCTTTTTGCATCCACCAACCAATGGGAAAAGGACATCTATGGCAGCTATTTCTGCTGATTAAATCCCGTTGATTGAAGGGGAGATCGTCAGGGGAATGCGAAGAGGTATCCTGGTTTGTGGTTTCAACCCCTCTGAAAAATATTAGTCAGTTGGGATTATTTTTCCCAATATATGGAACAATAAAATTCATGTTCCAAACCACCAACCAGTATCTCTAGACTACAAAAGGAAATGTTCTGTTGTGATATTCTAAAGGATATTCTAAAGGCGCATATTTGAGCTGAACATAGTAAAAACAATACAACTACTCTCTGGTTATTTGACATCACCATGGAAACTGGCCCATGTATAGATGATTTATGATGGTTTAACTTTTGAGGATTGTGATTTTCGCAACGTTAAATAACCACGTGGTGAACATTTTAATGGTACAGCAAAATTATACTGGTTAATAGTGGTTAATGATGGTTAATTATCTGTTAATTATGGCTGGTTGGTGGTTTTAACCATCTTGAACAATATGGAAGTCAATGGGAAGGATGACATCCCATATATTATGGAAAATAAAACATGTTCCAAACCACCAACCAGGATATTAACGTGCCAGTTTGGCTGAAACAGTGACCGACATACATCCGTGTGGAGATGTTGCTACGCATGAATAAATTGAATCTTGTTGTGCGCGTTTTCTGGATGTATTGAACACTATTCAAGACTTGTATATTATCTGGTTGGTGGTTTCAACCCTTTTGAAAAATATGAAAGTCAGTTGGGATGGTTATTCCCAATAAATGGAAAGTCATCATCCATTCATGTTCCAGTCACCACCAACCAGTTACTGTATTCTTTTTGGTTTTCATGAACCAATTCTTTTCGGATCATCCCACAGCAATATTATGTTTTATATGGGGAAAAACTTGAAAAATCGTTCATCAATGTGGGATGATGCGGAATATTGTGGTCCCATTGATCGAGGGGATACATCATTGAGGCAGCATCCCGATGCTACAGTATTCTGGCACATTTTATCGGGCTGGTATCTGCAGAAGCAAGCGCTTGTTGGGCCCAGTGGCAATGGCGTTATATGAAAAACCTGGACAATGCGTTGGAATTCATGAGATCGACTCACCGTCTGAGATCAATATTCGTTGGATTTGAAGAATTGATTCCGCACTATGCGATCTTTCAATAGATTTGAGTTATTCATCTACAATAATTACCTCCTTATTTTACCACAGCATCTCAGCTATAATGATGGCTTAGCCTCTGGCAAGTTAACCGTTGTGAAAAACAAGCCAATTTTAGATGATTTTTCGGAGTCATTTTAATGGTGGTCTTCAACTGTTATGCTTGCTGGAACGTAAATCTGGTTGATGGTTTCAACCAACACCTCTGAAAAATAAAATTCATGTTCCAAACCACTAACCAGAAATGATCTGATAGTATGGGATATTGATATTAATGGACATTGGCAAACATTCATCGGTGCCTTTTGTCACACAGACCCGCTGACCCGCGGCTTGGTTCCCCCACCCAACGCGATGGAACCGGAGAAGAATTGACACTGCAGCTTGTTCAAGGCCTTCAAAAATGGAACTGCGGTTGATTGGTGCCATCATTGGCTCGGTTAGCCATCCATCGAATCAGATTTTAGCAAATAAATCACAACTATTGCTATTCGGATGGTTAACGTTGATACATTGTAACCAAAGTGATCTATTGTTCATCATTTTATACTATTACCCATTGATACCATTGTGTTAACATTCATTATGATTCTTATGGATCATTGGAGACCCAAATGCACAAATGTTATTGGCAGGAATAAAGATGAAGGTCATGGTGTAACCATCAATGATTATATGATATCAAACAACATATGGACATATATCTGGGTAAATTACAATATTTCACTAACCTGAATCTTGCGGCCATTTGGGGATGATTTCCCTTAAAAAAAACATGATTCCAGGGCTCGGTCGAACAGTGAGGTCGTTATAATTTACCCAGATATATGGATGGTTAATGATCATTGGCTAAACCATCCAACCTTCATAATTTTAAGCACGAAGGGTTACCTTCTGGTCATGTGCACTAGTTTGCTATGGACAATCGTCGTTTCCAATGGGTCAAAAAGTGGAACATCGAACTAAATGGGTTATTTTCCATAGCTATGTTAATTTACCATAGGGCAACTTGTTGTTTAAACCTTGATCATAGGGGTGAATTAATTGCATAGGTTCTTGTTCATTAACTTTCCTACCCAGGGTAAGTGTCATCATTATTTTACTAGGGCTCACAATTCAAATATTTCAATGGGGCTGAAAATATTAGATAAACATTCAAACACGTGTTTTAGTAACCAACACACTAGTCAGTAAAGTTAACCGTTGTAAATAATACTGTGTACATTTTTTGGGTTTCGTATCACGTATGATTTTCTATATAGTTCTCCAATGACTATAAAATCCACCAACGCTTCGAAGATGTCATCATTTGCAACGAGGCGGGGCCTGCACTACGAAAGGTTCCTGCCTGCTGTTGAGCCTCGAGGCTTTGGGGCCTCTTGGAAGGCTTTTGGAAGTTTCACCTCTGGATTTTTCGTGGCCTTGCTTTGCTCTTGGCCTTGGCCCATTTCTGCCCGATTGTTCTGGGTTCTCCAAAGCAGGGGGGCACGAGCAACGTGGAGCTGCAGTCCTTGGTGCCAGGCTTCCATTGTTCCAACATATCTCCGATAGGATCCCCATGATTGTTAGTCTATCCCACCATTCTTAACATGTTTTTTCATTAAATCATATTAAGTCCGTCCTATACCATGAGAATGCCATTGAAAGTTCATTAAAACATATTCAAATCCCATTAAGATCAACTAATGTCCCCTTATCATCCCATCTAAATCCATTTCAATCCCATGAATATCCATTAACCGTGCGGAGTTCCAATCCAATGGTTTCCTGCAGGGGAGCCTTCGTGGCCCATTGCGGGGCCCCAAGTGGTCCAGCACTGTCCTCTGTCCGCATAGGTGTAGAAATCAAGTTGTGTGCGCGGTAACTCCTGCAGTAGCTTTTCTGCCAGGGATTGGACTCCTTCATGGCCAGGTAGCTGTTCTTGAGGGATCCAAAGTCGAAGGTTTCCGACCCCTCCGGCGGATGGTAGCGTTTCTCGGCTACCAATGGTGTGCCCCAGGACCAGGACGTCCATTTCTCCTCGCGAGACTCGAGGGAAGGGCACACGAAATGGTGCAATGGAGTGGCAACTGGGAACAGCCAATTGTTCAAATCGCACTCTGCGGCCCCTTGTCCAAGGTGCGGAATGAGACTGTCAACTATGTATTCAGGCTCTTCCGGTGCGTGGTGGGGCTCAAAAAGATTGGCTTGCCAAGCCTTCTGGAAATCATCGGGCCACACGGTGTATTTCCCAACTGGAAGCGGCCTGAGCAATGTCCTGAGCTCTTCATCCAGCTCCTTGTTCGCCCGGGCCGCCTGTGCTTGGGTGGACTGTGCCTCCGTGATGGCATCATAGGTGGCCGTAACTTCGCTTTCTTCGTGTTTTCGCTTGAGAAAGTTTTGAAACACTTTGAGGTCCAAGATTCTAATGGGAGTCCCGTTAAAATATACTCAGATCCCATTAAAATCAACTAATGTCCCCTTATCATCCCACTAATACCAATTTTAAATCCCATGAATACCCACAAACTTCCCACTGATGACACCCCCGCCCCGTCCCCGTTTCGGACCCAGTTGGATCGCTGGGCAAACCCGGCCCCAATGAGACGGATGGCATAGAAGAGATCGCCACCGCCCAGGAATTCCGTCAGAAAGTAGACGTGGTGTTTGTCCTGATCCAGGAAAACATGGGGCTTTACTGGTGGATCGATGGTGGTTTAATGGAGGTTCGGTATTGTTTAGTATGCTTTGACATGGTTTCGTGCTAGTTTGAAATGATGTAGTAATGGTGTAATATGGTTTTGATCATGCTTGATGATAGTTGATATTTTCGATGACACTCCCGCATTGTGTTATACATTTTATTCCCTAGACAGTGTGGCCACACTGAAGGGGTTCTTACGGTAAGGGGGTATCCTTCGCGTCCGGCATTTTCCCAAAAAAAAACCACACAAAATGGTTCTTATTGTGAAATGTCCATATGCATTTCGACTGCGCAGGCTCGCACAAAACGGGTGTCGCGGTCATGGGGCGCGCGGCATTTTTCCTGTAAATTCTCGCATCAAAAAACTCTGATGACATGTCCATGTGCATTTCGACTGCGCAAGCTTGCACAAAACGGGTGTCGCGGTCCTGGGGTGTACGGCATTTTCCCTGTAAATTTCCAAACCACGTGGCTCTGATGACATGTCCATATGCATTTCGACTGCGCAGGCTCGCACAAGACGAGGCATCTCATACAGAAATCTTTGACCTCTTATAGGGAGCTTGTAGAGAGATCTTGCCAAGAGACCTCTTATAGAGATCTTGTACAAAGACATTGCATAGAGATCTGCTGCAGGGATCTTGCCAATATATCTTCCCAAGAGGGCTTTTATAGAGAGCTTGTACAGAGATCTCATGAAGAGATCTTGCCGAGGTCGTGCCGAGAGACCTCTTAAAGAGATCTGTGCAGAGAGAGCTCTTATAGAGATCTTGTAGACAGATCTTGCCAGGAGACTTCTTATGGAGATTTGTACAGAGACCTGGTGAAGAGAGTAGCGATCTTGCTCGGGGATCATTTATAGATAGCTTGAGCAGAGACCTTGCTTTGAAATCCCTCACATCTCTGTGGAGATCTCTTTTGGACACCTTAGCCTTACACAGGGATCTTGCACAGCAGCTTCTACAGAGAACCTCTCAAGGACATCTTGCGCACGATCTTCTACAGAGATCTTCACAAAGGGAACTTGCAGAACCTGAGCTGGTATCTCTTCTTTTCACTACTAGGGTCGCTCTTGTCCTGCTAGCTTGCAGCCACTGATGATTTTAGGTCCTTACCACCGTTCCCTTTAGAATCCTGACTATGTACAATAGGTTGGACACGATGAAGGTTTAACCCGGTTAAACCCATCAAAATGAACGTTGCCATATCATGTACCATCTAATGAAACAACTTGAGATTTTAACATCAAACTTGCAGATTTAAGTGTCAAGACCGGAGATTTCTCGGATCAACATCTGTTCACCAACAGCCATGGCAATGACAATTCATTTATATATATATATATATAAATGGGATAAAACTTCATTAATTACATGTCATATGTGTTTTGGTTGTCTTCCATTTTCTGTGTGAACCTTGCATGTTTGGTTGATCAAATTCAATCTCTTCATTACGCAGCTAATCTTGGCTACTCGTACAAAGAACTCTTGGCTGAGTATCATAGTGATAGTCCGTGATGGCAAAAGATCGACCTGGGAATGGATATTAAGAACATATAAACTGGACGGTTGAATAATTTGCATGGCAACTCGGTATTGAACGGCACTTAACGGCACCAAGGTTTACCAACTACCAAGCAATAGGTTGGCTTGCCCGAATAGCATTCCTTGCTGGATCCCGTGTATTGGTGACTCCATATTTTGATGGCATCCAACATTTGAGTACCAAAAAAAACACTAAAAAACCATGGTATTTCGTATTTCCCATCCTATGATCATGGTTAAGTTTGGTTATCAAATCTGATCATATTACCATAGTGATTAATACTAATACCATATTTAGTGGTTAATAATACCATAGTGGTAATAGTGATCCATTATGGTATATTACCATAGTGATTATTAATCCATTATGGATCCATATTACCATAGTGATCATAACATTGCCAATCTTAGATACCCTGCAAAAAATGACAAATTCTTTGCTGGTGAACGTAGATATTCCCATTAATACCAAAAGACTAGTTAGGATTAAAATACCCATGTAATTTAATGTTGACCTAGATAATAGTGGTTAATAATACCACAGGTGATACTATCATAATATGGTTGCCAAATTACTATGGTAATACCATATACTATTACATTATTACCATGGTGGTTAATACCATATTACCATAGTGATCATAATAGTGGTTAATAATACAATAGGTGATCCATGCCAAATTTTGCGTACCATGATCATTCCATCCTTTTTGAGGATCAAACCTCGGCGATGGCCAAATCCAGAGCGAGTCGTTAAAGAAAACAACGGCGAAACGACGCCAACCCAGGATATACCCTCTGGTAAACATACAAAAAACGATGGAAAATGGGCCATTTATAGATAGTTTGCCTATTAAAACTGGTGATTTTCTATAGCTATGTTAAATTACCAGAGGGTATAAACCCGGCTGATTGAAATTTGGAGGGTTTTTATGCCCAAGATGCTGATGAACAATATTGGAATTGATCTTCCCGAGTAATTAGTAAACTCGTGGTTTATTGGTCCTGGGCTAATTCATCCCAATTTTTAATGGTTATATCATCATCTATAATCATCTTCTTCATCATCAAACCTACCATGTTTGGTGGTATTTTTGAAATCATAGTGACGCTCAAATAAAATTGTATCCACTTTCAATATCCACGAGAGTGGTAAAAAAATATCACTATTCATGTCTGCACTGTTCATTGAATCTCCATTTTCATGGATAAATACTTCGCATATCCATTAGTTAAATGCTGGATTCCCACTAGCCGATGAATTTACGAAATCAACCCCGGTGCATCTCCATAAAAAAGTCCCCCCGTGTTTTGGTGTTTATGTCCCACTAGCCAATATGCATGAAACATGTAAACATGAATGATCCACAAAACCGAGATTCTCCGATTTTCCCTCCATGTTTCTGTGTGCATTATCATATTTCACTAACCTGAATTAAGTTCGGCCATGGCTGGGGATGATTTCCCTTGACAAAAAACCATGATGAACCAGGGCTCGGGAGAACGGGGCTCGGTCCAGCGAAAATTTCCCTCCACCCTCGCCTGGAAAGTCTTAATGAACTGCACGATGCAGGGGTGGTAGCATTGTGCGTTCACCTGGCGGATTCTGTGACAGGTTGTAATGTTGCGTCCTGATTAGTGTGTGGCCCCCCCCCTAAACTATTTCTGGACTCTCTTTAAAGTAGAAAGTCAAAAAAATTCTTCCCAAAAGAAAAACATATCCTCAATTAAGTAAGGATTTCAATTGGCTACAATTGAAATCTAATTACTATTGTTTTTTTTTGCCGATGAAGTTGTGGTATTTGTAGTACTTGTAGTACTTGTAGTACTTGTAGTACTTGTAGTACTTGTAGTACTTGTAGTACTTGTAGTACTTGTAGTGTAGTACTTGTAGTACTTCCTTGCTTCCCTTCTGGCTCTGCACAGCTTGCTGCAATAGTGAACCCAGCAAACAAACCTACTAAAGTGAAATGGAGCCTCTCCTGGTCCAGGGCCTTGGAAAATTGTGGAAAAGCTGTTCTTTAATAAGGGTTTAATAAGGGATTGGTTCTTTTGGGAAAGGCTTGGGGTTTGAATTTGGCAATTTTGGAAATGGCTTGCTTCCCTTCTGGGCTTCCAGGGGCTGCTCTGGCACAGCTTGCTGCAATAGTGAACCCAGCAAACAAACCTACTAAAGTGAAATGGGGCCTCTACTGGTCCACGGCCTTGGAAAATTGTGGAAAAGCTGTTCTTTAATAAGGGTTTAATACGGGATTGGTTCTTTTGGGAAAGGCTTGCAGTTTGAATTTGGCAATTTTGGAAATGGCTTGCTTCCCTTCTGCAGGGGCTGCTCTGGCACAGCTTGCTGCAATAGTGAACCCAGCAAACAAACCTACTAAAGTGAAATGGGGCCTCTACTGGTCCAGGGCCTTGGAAAATTGTGGAAAAGCTGTTCTTTAATAAGGGTTTAATAAGGGATTGGCTCCTTTGGGAAAGGCTTGGAGTTTGAATTTGGCAATTTTGGCAAAGGCTTGCTTCCCTTCTGGGCTTCCAGGGGCTGCTCTGGCAAATGGAGCATCTCCTGGTCCAGGGCCTTGGAAAATTCTGGAAAAGCTGTTCTTTAATAAGGGTGTAATAAGGGATTGGTTCTTTTGGGAAAGGCTTGGAGTTTGAATTTGGCAATTTTGGAAAAGGCTTGCTTCCCTTCTGGGCTTCCAGGGGCTGCTCTGGCACAGCTTGCTGCAATAGTGAACCCAGCAAACAAACCTACTAAAGTGAAATGGGCCTCTCCTGGTCCAGGGCCTTGGAAAATTGTGGAAAAGATGTTCTTTAATAAGGGTTTAATAAGGGATTGGTTCTTTTGGGAAAGGCTTGGAGTTTGAATTTGGCAATTTTGGAAAAGGCTTGCTCCCCTTCTTCAGGGCTGCTCTGGCACAGCTTGCTGCAATAGTGAACCCAGCAAACAAACCTACTAAAGTGAAATGGAGCCTCTTCTGGTCCAGGGCCTTGGAAAATTGTGGAAAAGCTGTTCTTTGATAAGGGTTTAATAAGGGATTGGCTCTTTGGGAAAGGCTTGGAGTTTGAATTTGGCAATTTTGGAAAAGGCTTGCTTCCCTTCTTCAGGGCTGCTCTGGCACAGCTTGCTGCAATAGTGAACCCAGCAAACAAACCTACTCAGATAGAGATGCATTTACAGGCTCAGATAGGGAGATGAGCAAAAAATTGACTGAGCTACAGCGTTTTTGAGAAAAAATGCCTCTCAGCAATTACAGTTTTTTTTGCAAAAAAAAGGGCTCTCCCAATTTTTTTTGCCACAAAAGCGAACCCTCCAAACAATACATGAGTTTCAGAATAATTTGGAAAAATTTGCCACAATAGCGACCCTAGGTACTAATCAGGACTCAACATTATCCCTTAAACCATGGTGTAGCTGATTATGGTTTATATATGATGTATATATATATATATATATTTCAAATATAGTATAATACACATAATATATATATATATTGATTGTGTATGTGTATATATATATTATATAATCATGGTTTATATAGTATTGTTGGTCAAATATTGCGATGATGCTGAACCCGAATCCTTGCTTAATGATGGGGCCACGTGGCCATGTGCAAAAACTGACCATGGCCAAATATTTTCATCCGTAAAACATGTAAAACTTTGTAAAACTTCGGTTCCCACCAACGTTTACCCCCACTTGGGTTTGTCTCAAAATGAGGCAATCCCGAAATCTTCCCCATTTCATGCTTAATTCAATAGTGTTATTTTTAGTCTTGAACATCCTTGTCTATTACTTAAGTATCTCATTTTTTCTACCACTTAAACCATAAATAATTATAGACCATGGACAATATGTATCAAACAGATTATCTTAGCCACATATCGACCACATATGATCCACTTATGAACCACATTCATAAACAATATGTCATACATCAACCACATCTCATGTTTTTTTCCCGATGATCTATCTACAACCATCGCGATATTTGCCTACGCCGACAGTTACCCGACTTTGATTAAACGTCGGATCATTGTTGTCGATTCATTTTTGGTTACCCCAAGGTCAACGTTTACATAGATGTGGTTTTCCCCATGGTTTCCGGTTTCGAGAATCGACAAACTCATGGTTAGTTGTTAGTTTTTTCGACACCATCCAGTCGGGAGCCCAAAAAAAAGCACCTCACGCTCCATGACGATGGCGCGTTCTTGCCTCCCCCGTACGACCTGCAACGAAGATCAGCGGATATGTCTGGTATCAACAATGGTTGTATCCATGGAGGAAACCATAAGGAATAGTGGGATATAATTTGATATGATGGGACAATGGGATGTTTACCATGAAATGGCAGTGCCTGAAAATTTGGTGTGTCATATACCTTCCAAACAGCCATTTTTATAGGGAAATTGACGACTTACCCATGGATTTAGGGGTACGATTTTTTAACGCATAAGCATATATGAGAAATTTATAATCAACAATAATATATCTGGGTATATCAACTGATTTTCTCAACATATTATCACGGAATCAACAATCAACACTACATTTCCGAATTACATGGGATAGAATGGGATTTGTAGCCATGGATCTTTGGTGATTTAACTGGCAATTGGGGTTATAATACTGTTATCTAATGACTTCACACACACTGTTACAAGCTGCTTTATTTATCAAATCACTATTGAACCAGGCTCCCTTGGAAGTTGGTCGGCTGGATGTACCTTTCCAGATCTTCATCAAGACTGCTGAAGGCTCAGAAAGCTGACAGAACTCAGTTTTTAGGGCTCGATTGTATCAACACCCCAAAAGAACATGGTGCAATTACCACTACTTGGGTGAACATTTGCCAATTTCGAGGTGTTCTTTTAATCTTCGTGTTAAGATTCCAACTCCCAAGCAGAAACAACTAAATGCTTTTGCCCCCCAGTTGTAAGTTGGGGTATCAGCCCGGTTACCTATAATTAACTATAGGTTCATAGATAAATCAGCCATATGCACTCATCCCCATACCATGCATGAAACTGATGGTCACATCCCTTTCTCTTTAAACCATTTGTGCCATGGCCAAAACATAGATTGTTTTCCCATATTGGGGGATGGTCACCAATCAAATTTCATAGGGATTTAGATTGTGGAAGCCATTTTGTTTGGATTCCAAATATGTGATGAGGCCCCATCCCATGTAACTTGACCGAACATATACGTGAATATCCCGTTGTGTATCCCCATAAAATCATCTTTCATGATATCCCCATTATATCCAAACTTGACCATGTATTTGTTCCACGTGTATACAAGTTAATCAGCTATATAAGGTATAAGTTATACGGTGGTATACCTACCCCTCTGAAAAATATGAAAGTCAGTTGGGGTTACTATTCCCAATATATGGAAAAATGTTCCAAACCACCAACCAGTATAAATATCTAGAACCTGTCCCAAAGCACAACAGTTCTGCATCACCACCTTCCAACCCGCGCCTGTGATTTCTTCACACACTTCAGCGCATATTCTGGAGCATCCTAGTGCAGGAGATGGCTGCTATTCGCCATGAAACAGATGGTTGGTTGGTGGTTTTAATCTGGAAAATATGAAAGTCAATGGGAAGGATGACATCCATGATGGAACATAAAAAATGTTTGAAACGACATGAAACCACCAACCAGTTAACTTTATCCAAAAAATCTGATTTACCATCAAATTGTGGGTTTGACGCACCAAAAGACGTGGTCCGGGAGAATGCTTCGGAAGAACATTTGGAACATCTCTTATTTGGTGTCCCCGGTGTTAGGCAGCGGGCCTAAACAATGGAATGATCGTTCAAATTCGGAAATGGTTCTGGTAATCCTGCCAATGAAAAGAAACCATGTATGTTCAATGGAGAAACACAACCGCTTAATAAACATTAATCGTCATTTTATAATACAGCTAATCATCCAATATACAACTGCCTATTTTTTATTGAAACGAAAAAACATGTGTTCCCATCCTCTGTCTGGTTTACAGAGGGCACTTTGGAATCGTAACTGGTGAGGATTACCGGTCACCCTGATGCCAGGGTTGGCAGCGCTCATCGTGAAGACCTTCAGCGTTTCAGTCCCTGAAAACCGACTCTTTTGGAGCGTGCCCGCCAGAAGTGGATCAACGATGCTTATTCCACTAATGACATCCCATACATTTTATATATAATATAATATAAGTATTATATGTATTATATCCCAAATAATACTGTATATCCTCAAACACTTCCAAATAACTGATAAGTTCGTTATATACATGAACAATTCGTGATGATAACAAACGATGTCAGTGTGTTTGTTATACAACATGTCATTATTAGTATCATTTGAAACAATACATAATGATAATGATTATCATTATGAAATTCATCAAGTATGTCAATCATCAAACATTACAATGCGAATCGTGATTAATCCTTGTATCATTAGAATCATTATCATCAGTATCATTATTAAAATGTTTATCATTATGTCTATCATTCCTACTACAATCAATCATCATCAACACACCAAATTGTTCATATTCTTCTTTTATGTTCATTATCACCATTTGTGTTTATCATTGAACATGATCATGCTATATAAGTTATACAATGATTATCATGAAAACATACGCACTTTTATTCATATAATAACCCGAATATAATACATGATTATAGTTATCATCAATTATACCATCAATTACATTACCATTATCTTTATCATCAAACAATCGAATGATTTCATAATGATTATTATGATAACAAATAATCTGTGTATCATTACCATCATCATCATCATTATCATCATGATCGTCATCAATCCCACCATTTGTATATAATGTTTATCAATATATTTTGTATTTATCATCATGAAAAGCAACAACTTATATCATATAATGATTATCATGAAATAATCGTCATAAACAACATTATAATGATCTTATAATGACGTACAAATTTTGTTCATGTCGTATGAAAAGAAACATGTAAATCCATATTAAAACCATATTAATCCATATAAATCCATATAAAGCCAAAAAACCCATATAAAACTATAGTAAATCTATTAAAGCAACCTATCCGTCATCAGCCGCGCCTTCTTATCCCTGGGCGTCACGAGGCGCACCACGCCGAAGGTGCCGCGACCCACCACCGCTTTGCACTGCAGCCGTGGAAACCACCGGTGGAAACAATCCAAAAACTGGAAACAACATTTACCCTCTGGTAAACTGTTACATAGCTATGGAAAATCACCATTTTTAATGGGAAAACTCACTATAAATGGCCATTTTCAATAGCTATGTTAGTTTACCAGAAGGTAAAAAACAATACAAAAACAATTTAAAAAACATAAAAAACACCATGAAAAATTGGGAAATCCATACAAACACAATCAGAAAATCAAGGTTACACATCGTGAAAATCATGGGATGAACGTCCCGAATGAACAACGTAATCTTGGCTAATCCCACAGATACATAACGGACCAATCTATTGAAGTCACCAGCCAGAGAAAATCAGAGAAAGAATTGGAGAAAATATGAGAACATCAAAGGGGTTTCACAACCGGAGACAACTGAGATAACTTGTGAGCAATAATTCGAAGACATAACGTGGCGGAAAATATTTGTAGATATCACTCATCTCAATTGGAAGCAGGAAACGTGTGGAAACTTGGAGGAAACTGAAGCAACCACCAGTGGAATTCGCTGGTTGGTGGTTGATGGAACATATTCCTACCGGGATTGCCACCCATGCAGTCATTTCAATTTTGCAGGAAGGAACAAATCGATAAATCAACAATCAACATTACATATACTTTGATATCAATACATTCTTTGTTTTTTTTTTAAATAAAAATATGTTACACCATCAAAAAAACCACAGATTACAATGTCAATAATTGGAATGATTGGGATATGGGGACATGGCCAAATAAACCATCCTGGATGCTAGAATGAATTGGGTCAAAGAGCTTTGGTGAATCCAATTTTCGAAGAACACTCGTGGATAGACCGGCTTTTTGAAGTGGGAAAGAATCCCCAACCACAGTGGGGACTGATTTTCTCCCTCGGAAAATTGGAGATATAGTGGATGTTAATGGATACCCGCTGGTAAACTAACAGTTTGCTATGGAAAATCATCATTTTTAATGGGAGAATCACCTATAAATTGCCATTTTCAATAGCTATTTTGACATAACCAGAGGGTAATGATGGGATTCTTTTTTGTTTGAGCCACAGAACGAAGGATCGCCACATGAAACGCCGGCGAGTTCGTCATCGCCAACCAGTCTCATCCGCCAACCCAGTGCAATGCGACGAAGCGAAAAGACTTCAGAAGCGTCGAGAATCATGAATTTTCCAATGAATTAGCAAATTCCATGAAACAATCCCATCATTATCCATTAACATCCACTATATCTCCAATTATAGAGGTAGACAACCAGTTACTATAACCAATTAAGTACTTTTCCACTCAGCTGCCCGGCAAACATATGCAAATTCCTTCAGGAAAAATATGAGGATAAAACATGATAAAACCAAATTCAGTAAATATCTCATTACACTCCCATTTCTGACCCCACCGCAAAAATATCCGAAATGGGAATCCGATTAAAACCAAACCAGACCAGAAGGCACAGACCAAAACTCGGCGCGCGAGCGTTGCACCTGTAGTCTCGCTGCACTAATCTCTTCTTCCAGAAGCATCTCCTGCTCCCTTTCGGCATGGACATCAGCCAAATGTTTGATTTCTCTGGCATGTGATTCTGCAAAAAAGCGCCTTGTTCCGTTCTACATCGCTCTCGTCTGGCAAGTCGAAAAGTTCCAACGCCGGAGATGTCGGACTTCGTGTGTGACCTCACTCGGGCAGCGCCGCGACCTCTTCAGAGGTGCAATTGCAGTGCCATGTATATCACTGTCAGAACCTGATGCCATACTTTCACAGCAACCAATGTGCAACTATTGTGCACCTCGACAGCCCCTGCGAACGCAACACTTTTTTTTTAAAAGGAGCTTGAACGATAGCATGATTATGTCTATTACTTTTGCTTACCATTAAAAAAACAAACTTGGCCAGTCCAAAAAAATCAAACAGAGACATCTATATAGTCTATATGATTTAGATGATACCATGTGCCCGAGGGGCAACTCCGATATCCCGTCGAACTGTGAGCCACGAGACCACATACCATTTTTCATTGTTTGGTAGCTTCTAAGTGAAGCTATGAAGCAATGTGTCAGTCGGTATCCAAAATTGATTACCATCTGGTTATTTAACATAGCCATGGAAAATCCCTTACAAATGGAGGTATTAATGGGAAAATCATATATAAATGGGCCATTTTCCATAGTTATGTTAGTTTACCAGAGGGTATATAAGCTAGTAGTTGAAAACAACATATGATACCGCGCACAAACCGCCTGCAGATCAGAGATGTTCAGGTTGAGATCCTGACGTACGTCGCGTCAGGCTGTGCGTGATGCATCCGGAAATTCCGTGGTTGGGACCTACAACCAATTGCTCTCAGTTTACCAGTGAATAATCGACATAATGATAGCCAATAGCTATAACAGGCAAACAAAACCTATACCCTCTGGTGAACTAACATAGCAATGGAAAATCACCATTTTTCATGGGAAAATCAACTATAAATGGCCATTTTCCATTGCTATGTTAGTTCACCAGAGGGTACTTTTTACCAGTAAATCATCGGGCTCTATACGCCTATTCCTGTACTTTCCAGGATCATCCAAGTGGGAAACAGAAAGGTCACATCAGATGTGAAATACATCAAACATCATGGCGAAGTTTTGCGACCTCATGATCAGTAATCATTGAATGGTTGGTTGTTTCTGGGTAACATGATGTAAAATGATGTAAAATGACTCAGGATTGGCAAGTTTCTTGGAGAATTCTGAGTAAACAAACCCTGTCATATGGGTATGGGTCAAAATTAGGTACCCCAAAATTATGGATGATTAATACTAAACTAGACATTCACATCTGTGGTCCCACATCGGTCTTCCATTTTGACCCACATCCATATGTAGAAATGGCTGTGCATTTAAGCTCCGGCTGGTGTTTTTTGTCCAGGATGGACGTGGCCCACAACCGAAGACATGGGCCATCGATACAACTGGCGCTGCTGGATGAATCAACAACGACTGATTGAGTCAGCCGCTTTTTTGAAAGCCTGCGATTTCGGGAAACCATCAACATGTATCTAAATCCCATATGCTCCTACTTGCTGGAATATGAATCCCAACATTTATCCCATCAATGGCCCAGTTTTGTAGGTAAATATACTAGCACCATGGTTCGCATATGGGAATGCATTATGTACAGAATTTCCAAAAGCGCTTGGCTTGATCAGAACCTTCAACATGTGTTCCACTTTTTGTGTTTCCAGCTGAATGGATTTGGGTGGGGACTTCTGCCCGCTATCAGAACCTTAGCCACCGGGCAACCATTGGTTGATTTAACAACTCCGGAGCGATGTGTCTCCAACTGACTGGATTTGGGTTAAAAACTCAGCGATGGAGAATTCCCTGCTTATGGAGAAGCTTTCACCAGGTGAACATGAAAAGCAACGGATTTGGGATGCAGTTTATGTCAAACATCTCTGCCATGGTATTTTCGTCCCAGCAGAGAAAAACGTTCTGCGTTTCCACCGAAATTACCCAAGCCACCTTTCGCTCGTCTCACGGAATATGTTCCACTCACTCATCACCCGGGGATCATTGGATTCGTTTTCATCCCCCAATGTTACACTGACTAAAATCCTGTTCATGTGGCGAAATCACCATATTGGGATGATTCCCCTTACTAACTATATGATTTCCAGTGAGGGAGAACAGTGAGGTCGTGATGAAATTTACCCAGATATTTGGCGATATTATAACACCAAAATCTGGTAACCATGGTTTACCAACATATTTATGACTGGTTGGTCTTTCAACCTCTCTGAAAAATATGAGTTCGTCAGTTGGGATTATTCTTCCCAATATATGGAAAAACATGTTCCAAACCACCAATTAGTATTTATAATATCAACATGGATGGTTTCTAATGGAACATCCTATTCAAACGGATAATTTAAGGGTACCTATAAAATTTACCCAGATATTTGGGGATGATTAACTTTACCCTATATTTACTGAATTAAGGCCATTTGGGGTTGATTCCCCTTAGCATAATTTACCCAGATATTTGGTTACCCTCTGGTAAACATACAAAAAACTATGGAAAATCACCAGTTTTCATGGGAAAACTCACTATAATTGGGGTATTTTCAATAGCAACCTGTTGACATAACCAGAGGGTAAACCTCCATTTTCCTATGGTTTTCCCATGGTTTTCCCATCATCTGGGCACCACCTCCAACCACCGCTATTCGTCGTCGTCCTGCAGCTGCATCCTCCGTTCCAACTCATCGCGGAAGTGTCCCACGATCTCGAAGAATTCCTTGGACGAACAAATGGGGAGGACCGTTGGACGAGGGAACACCGGGACCTGCATCTTCGCGAAAATGATGACTATACCCTCTGGTAAACTAACATAGCTATTGAAAATGGTCATTTATAGTGGATTTTCCCATTAAAAATGGTGATTTTCTATAGCTATGTTAAATTACCAGAGGGTAACACATAAATATACATAAATACTTGCTGCTTGGTGGTGCACTAACCATCTGAAAAATGATGGAGTTCGTCAATGGGAAGGATGACATCCCATATATTAAATGGACAATAAAACATGTTTGAAACCACCAGCCAGCTTGATAATTATAAATACTTGATAATTATGAACACACATATTAAATCTTGATAATTATAAAAAATATAATTATATATACCTTATCAAACAAACAATGACGTTTCAGGACCTTTATTCCGTGAACAAAGACTGCAGAGAACTCCGCAAAACTGCACGAAACTCACCAACACACTGCAGATACCGTTTGCATATCACGATTTAGTTGAGAATCATGGCTGTGTGGATGGGGGCTCATGTTGGGAAGGTCATCCTGCATTTTCATAATTTGATTTTGATCCATACAGGATGGGGTCCCCCAGTTGTAAGTTGGTTTATAAACAATAACAACACCCCCATTAAATCATTAACTAGTTCGTTATATCTACCATAAACCATAGAATTCAGCCAGTTATAAGGCAACTTAGCTATGTTGGGGGCCTCATCCTGTACCCTTGTCTGTATGACTTTAGCCATACCCTCGAGTAATCAAACCTGGACAATCCCGGCATCGTCCGAGGTCGTTCTTCGTTTGACACATTACCGTCTCGGAGTGGCTGGTGATTAGGATTTGCCACCAAACTTGATGTCTGAACATAAGTGAAGCTTGTTTGTGAACAAAGATAATGTCAACCCTGGATTAATAAACCCCGTCCAAACGGCTGTTTAATTGGGGGGTACCATAAAAATTCGTATTGGATTAATTATGACTATTGGAGGAGTACCCCCCCTAATTTTCATAAACCATGGTTTATTCATCCATAACTGATTACATAACTATGGAAAATCACAATGCTAAATCACCATGGTTTGTTCGCAAAATCCGGGGTTGACATTAGAGGAAAACCTCAGATTCCCCTCAATCGAGACCACCATCGCAATAGACAGAGATAGCCTGCCAATCCCATTCTATGCTCCCAAATGTATGGTTTCAGCATCGAAAACAACATCTGAAATGGTTGCAGAGCAGTGCCGCTGATCCAGCCGTTCCAACAGTGATAGCTGGGCTTCAATTCATCGGCGTCAAGCTGGGAATCAAGCTATCGAAGTCAAATTCAAGATGGTTGTCACAAACATATATAGTATATTATATATAGTATATATTATATAGTATATATTAAATAGTATATATTATATAGTATATATTATATAGTATATATTCTATAGTATATATTATATAGTATATATTAAATAGTATATATTAAATAGTATTTATTATATAGTATATATTCTATAGTAAATATTATATAGTATATATTAAATAGTATATATTCTATAGTATATATTAAATAGTATATATTATAGTGTATATATTCTATAGTATATATTATATAGTATATATTATATATTATATAGTATATATTATATAGTATATATTAAATAGTATATATTATATAGTATATATTCTATAGTATATATTATATAGTATATATTATATAGTATATATTATATAGTATATATTATATAGTATATATTCTATAGTATATATTATATAGTATATATTAAATAGTATATATTAAATAGTATTTATTATATAGTATATATTCTATAGTAAATATTATATAGTATACAAATTTAAATAGTATATATTATAGAGTATATATTCTATAGTATATATTATATAGTAAATATTAAATAGTATATATTATATAGTATATATTGAATAGTATATATTATAGAGTATATATTCTATAGTATATATTATAGAGTATATATTCTATAGTATATATTATATAGTATATATTAAATACTATATATTATATAGTATATATTCTATAGTATATATTATATAGTATATATTAAATAGTATATATTCTATAGTATATATTCTATAGTATATATTCTATAGTATATATTATATAGTATATATTAAATAGTATATATTCTATAGTATATATTCTATAGTATATATTCAATAGTATATATTCTATAGTATATATTATATAGTATATATTAAATAGTAAATATTATATAGTATATATTCTATAGTATATATTATATAGTATATAAATTTAAATAGTATATATTATGTATATATATTATAGTATATATTAAATAGTATTTATTATATAGTATATATTCTATAGTAAATATTATATAGTAAATATTAAATAGTATATATTATATAGTATATATTATATAGTATATATTAAATAGTATATATTCTATAGTATATATGTACACCCTCTGGCAATTTAACCAATCTATAGAAAATATGGCCAGTTTACAGACGATTTACCTACAACACATATCAATGATGAATATATGATTCATATTTCACTATATATTTCATAGCTATGTTAGTTACCCGGAGCATAGAAAATGTCATAGACATGCAGCGCCTCTCTGGGTGTCCCAAACATCTGCGTCCAAGACCAAACAAATGCACTCGTCCAAGGCCTGCCGTGAAAAGATATCGATGAATCATACGGATTTTTCACATAGTTTCAATGAACAAATCGATGAACAAAAAAGGTGGGTGAATGAACAGTTGATTTTGAAAAGAACATGTTTCATTTGTCCATTTGTGTAAACCAACTGGTGGAGGGAATTTGAAGATTTGAGGGATTTCACATGGTCTCTTGAAAACCAACTGGAGGGAATTTGACCATGAATCAATCAACAAATGGTGGTTTAATCATGTTTAATTGACAACACATAGGCTTTGATTTAAACAAGGTCACGCCGCCGTTAGCGGCGCTGGAGGTTTTAGCAGCTGGCTTGCAGCAATCTCTGTCTCAGTGAAACAGAGCTGGCATGGCTGCCCACACATCTCCTTTACAGTTGCGGCGCCACATCCAGCTGTAAATCCAATCCCACAACGCAGGATTAACCTTTTTGCTGGTTGCATCCTTTGCTGTGATCTCGGATGGAACATACTTTTTCAAATCCTGCCATGCTCTGTCCAAGGTTTGAGTGCCAGCGGTCACTGGCTTTTGATTCAAACCATGTACTTGACGGCAAAATTCTAAAAGGGAATGGTTGACACTGGCATAGGGCAGTCCAGCATCTTCTGCTGCTTTCTTCCATGCTCGCGCTCCATCCCCAAACAACATGCTTTTGCGAGTCACAATGCTATTTACAAGATCCAACTCCGACACATCCACCCCAACCCATGCCCCACGTAGCAGCAACGTAGCATCCACGGGTGTGCACATACACATGAACGTTAACATCCCACCCCACCCTAGCAGCAACGCAGCCTCCACGTGGTGTGCAAGTGCAAATGAACGTTAACGTCCCACCCCACCCCAACCCATGCCCCACGTAGCAGCAACGCAGCCTCCACGTGGTGTGCAAGTGCAAATGAACGTTAACATCCCACCCCACCCCCAATCCCACCCCTGGCCGTATATGCTGAAAAGTAGTAAACTCCTCTGATATGCTCAAAAGTAGTAAATTCCTCAGCACCGCTAACGGCGGCGTGAGCTTAAACAACTCTATACCATCCACAACAGATGTTCATCCCATTCTCCAAAAAAAATCCTAATATCAAAGACCCCCTTTCGTCCCAAATATGTGATGTCATTCCCTACATCCACAATGGTGTCACGGTGGTGTAGCCAATATGAATGGGGGAAGGGATTTTTCTGGCATTGTCCAGCTCAAACTAGACATGACGTCCATGACATTGGTCGATTCAAAGTCCACAATTTATCCATGAAAAACTAGCCCACTCACCAGTTGGTGTAAATTAGCGGTTAAACACACTATGTTCATAATTATAGAGAATAGAGAATATTGGGATTATACCAGATTTTTTCAAGGTTTTTCCACCGTATCTTCTTAGTTACCCTCTGGTAAACTAACGTAACTATAGAAAATCACCATTTTTAATGGGTAAATCCACTAATTATAAATGGCCATTTTCAATACCTATATGTTAGTTTACCAAAGGGTAACTATTAACCATTAACCATAAATTAACCATAGATTAACCATTTATAGATGGTTTACCCAGTCATAAACCATTTTGAAGTTTGGATTCCCAATATGGATTTCGTGGTGCAATACTGTGCAGCCGCCTGGCAGGTGGCGGAGCGGCGTTCCTTCAGCAGCAGCCCGCGCTCGCCGAAATAGTCCCACCTGCGGCGCGAACCCTGGCGTTGGTCAATGGATAAAACCATGGTATTCTAACCTCCATAAGTTGGGATATAACTTCTATAATTATGGTTATATATGTATAATATATACATATACATAAATATATATATATGTATAATATATATATATCCACTAGTTCACTGGGGTGAGAAATGATCTTTACCACAAATCTTCTTCACCTTCAGTACAAAAAGGTCATCAAAGTTGAACGTTGAAATCTAGTAACTTTTCACCTTTTAAGTACTTGAATGTTGAAATCTAGATCAAGTACTAGATCTAGTAAGTAACCTAGTTACTTGACCAGTTACTAGATTATCGAGTAACGTGATCTTTTCACCTCCAGTTCAAGTGGAAGATTTGATACGAAACCTGTGCGATCAAACTGTGGCACCGGTCACATGCAGACAATGACAGGCAAACCAACTTAAAAAGACATATAAAACGACAACCCCCAGTGGGTTTTCCCTACAAATTTAGTATTTTAGTGGGTTTTCCATGTACCCCCTGGTAAACTAACATAGCTATGGACAATCACCATTTTTAATGGGTAAATCAATCACAAATGGCCATTTTCAATAGCCTATGTTTGTTTACCAGAGTGTATATGCTAGCAGTCTTATGGAAGGTAACTTATTAGAAGAGATATCGACGACTCGATGGAAGGGATTTCCATATGCTTCCCAAAGAGGGATGAGCAGGTCCTGCTAGCCCATGGAGCTTCCTAGTTCAATATGGCTTCATATGGTTTTAAATAATATCTGGTTGGTGGTATACCTACCCCTCTGAAAAAAAGTTAGTTGGGATTATTCTTCCCAATATATGGAAAAATGAACATGTTCCAAACCACCAACCAGTTTTAAATAATATGTTCTTTTTTGGGAGAAACATGGGGTATTAACGGATTTACCCTCTAGTAATCTTAGTAATCAAACACGGCGTGTTGGAAAAGTTAACAATGATTTTCCCAACGATAAACCTCCATTTAGTTTTAAGATTTCCCAGCTATCCATGTTGAATATCTAAGGGTACTTCCAAAGAACTCTTTTCCATATCAACTTCCAGTCAAATAACATATGGAACAACCTTCATTGCTAGATCATTTCTTGGTAAAACATATGCTTTTCCATATTCATGATAGGCTACATACTACAGGGATCTAAAGGGTCTGATGTATAACCAAAACCCAAAACCAGTTTCGATTTAGACTTTTGAACTGTAAAAAACAATGGCCAATAAGTTATTATCACTTCTATATTTATAATATTATTATCACTTCTATTATTAGTATTTATTATTTTATAAACCCAAATATTATTCAAGCGTATTTGTCACTTCTTATCGATAGTCCCATTTGGGGTGCTCAGCCCAATTGAAACGTAACAATACCCTTTGTAAAATGGGAGTCTCAAATTAGGCCAAACTCCAAAGTGAGACTGTCACAGTCACAAACTAATCATAGTAATGCAAATCTCAACCAGCTAGACACTCAACAATTTTGCAGGTCTAGTGAACTAAGTGGATACCCTCTGGTAATTTAACATAGCTATTGAAAATGACCATTTATAGTGGATTTACCCATTAAAAATGGTGATTTTCCATAGTTTTTTGTATGTTTACCAGAGGGTATATTTCACCATGGTTATTGCCATAACTTCAACTGCATCAACTGCAGATCCATCCCCCAGATCAACATCAGCCACGCCTCCCTAAGGTTCTCAACACTTTTCCATCCTTTCGCACCTGAAAGTTGTGACCAAAGTGTTGAGCCGACCAAGAGAAAGTGGGATGATTATCAACAGCAAGACACATGTTCATGAAACTTTATGTTATATGATGTTCAATAATATTATTAATGAATATTAATATACTTATCAACATATGATATATCAAATAATATTCATAAGTATATACAACATATACTATGTATGATGTATATATCTATACATGACCAAAAGAAGACAAATAGAACATTCTGCAACACCCTTGTCCTCAAAGTGACCATCAGCCTTATAATTCAATACTCTTGACATTATACATATCTAATTGGTGGTATACCTACCCCCCTGAAAAAAATATGAGTTCGTCAGATTGGATCATCATCCCAACTATTGGGGAACATAAAATTCATGTTCCAAACCACCAACCATACATATTTTACGCCTAGAAAGGACCTCTTTTTCCGGTATCAACGGGAAGTGGCTTTTGTGGCTTTTGGAGCTTCCCCATCCCGGGTATCTAACCGTGGTTTCGTTTCACCCCCATGAATCTTGGCTCGTTAAAAACACCCCAAAAAAAGGGCCCATGGCAAGAATTCAGCAAGGCCAGCTTCATGGCAAGGACCAAGGTGCCTCAACTTAGCCTCTGGTTATGACTAACATAGCTATGGAAAATCACCATTTTTAATGGGACATCTCACTATAAATGGCCATGTTCAATAGCTATGTTAGTTGACCACAGGGTACATGATGGCATGCGGAAAAAGACAACAGCATCAATCAATCGCGCAGATCATCACAGATATCATTCACTTGCCAAAGTGGAACAATGAGCATTTGTCCTAACCAGTTGCTATCCTCATGAGTGATCCTCCCAGTTTTTTTAATCCAATTCATGATGCCATATCCCAAATATTTGCCAAGCACCGCCTTTCGACATATTCCAACCTTTCGGTCATCATTTCAGGTTGTGTCTTACCGAATTTCGGTACCCCAAAACAAAATGGGGTCTACATCAGCAATTTTGGATGATTTTCGGGTCCAAAAACCCAGAAAATCGCGACTGAGATCACAACTTTCAAGGCTTCAATTCGATAGTTGTGGCGCTAAGAATCACGACTTTGTGCCACCAGACAAAAAAAGGAACCCAATTGAGCGCTGACCTTCACCCTCCGGACGCTAGGATCCTCACCACCACGGTGCCACGCTGGATGAGGTAAAAGTGCCTGACCGTAGATGTCTTGGAGAATCTAAGCAGCGTTTGCTGTAGCTGAGCTGGTATTTATTTGTACTCTGTTGTAGATTCTTGGTCTACATGTTTGGTATATATAGCAACCCCCAAGAAGATAGAACAGTAACATCCAACCAAAATAGTGATAAATTAATGTTACTGGGGTGGGCTTATATATATATATGGCAGTGTGTCAAAACCTTGTACCCCTGTAGTTCACATCAAAATAGCTGGTATTTATGGATGTTCATCCAATTAAAAATGGTACTTATAGGTATTGACCCATACCCATATATATATACCCTCTGGTGAACTAACATAGCAATGGAAAATCACCATTCTTAATGGGAAAATCCACTATAAATGGCCATTTTCCATTGCTATGTTAGTTCACCAGAGGGTATATATATATGTATTTGTATATGTAGCTAGAAAACAACGTGTGAGATCCCAACTGCCCAGAAAAAAATCCTCTCTTCGGTGGTGGAATTTAACGGACCCACGGATGATAGACACGGGCAAACTTGACTGGGCATTCCAATTTTCGGACAACTACAGTTGCTTATATCCAAAATATTGGTTGGCTGTGTGCCCGTATATATAATATATAGAGTTGGTGAAGTCCGTTGCATAAACCCCGATATCCCCTAATCTTTATGGATTCGCCACCCATTACTCCGTCACATTTTGTAGCTAACATGTTGCTCAGCTTCATCAAAATTGTAGACCCTTTTACTCGGATAGAATCATCGTTTCGGTAGTTGATATCATATATCACCCATGGTTTTTTCATATATAACCAATTGATGATCATTGTTCACCAATGGCATAGAAATTCATATTAGCCTCTGGTAAACTAACATAACTGTGGAAAATCACCATTTTTAATGGGAAAATCCACTATCAATGGCCATTTTCAATAGCTATGTCATCACAAAACAACAGCCCCAGCAATGCTGGGTGAGTCATTTTTTGTCATTGCTGGGATCATCCAGGATCATCCCGGACTCCCAGGTGTTCACCATATCATAACCCTATGATATCTGGAAGATCCCTGAAATTCAGAATAGATAAAAAAAGGTTTGGGCCGGTGACTGGTTAATCCCATCTATCATCATAGAAACCTGTTGTTTTTCAGGGGTTTCTGAAGAAACCCCTCTATGAAAATCAACCAACCAATGGGAATTTGGGACATCTATGGAGTCATATCCTGATAGTCTGGTACCGTTTTTACTCAGCTAGACATACGGAACATCCCATGGAAAATTTTTCAAGAAACATCCCATTCGAAAGCGATCTGAAGGATGATGGAACGAGGGTTTTTACAAAATCCCATCAGCCTAATATGAAAAACATTCCATAAATGGTCGAAAATGATGTGGAAATTCCCTACAAAAAACCATCTGGGTAAATTATAATATTTCACGTTCACCTGAATCTTGCGGCCATTTTGGGATGATTTCCCTATAAAAAAACCATGATTCCCAGGGCTCGGTCGTAGTGAGGTCGTTATAATTTACCCAGAACCATGGTTTCTGGGGGGAAAGCAACCTGAGATTCTTGGATCCACGGCGAAATCTTCGGGGATCTTTGAAGATCGCAACTTTTTTTTCCAAATCCCCTTTTTGTCTCCCCCCATCTATGTTTTAATAGGTAAATCATCTATAATGGGAAAACCATGGGAAAGTGGAGGTTTATAGCTGGGTAAAACCATAGGAAAACCATAGGAAAATGGAGGTTTACCCTCTGGTTATGACTAACATAGCTATGGAAAGATCCACCATTTTAATGGGTAAATGTGCCAAACCACCAACCAGATATCTCATTAACCATTATTAACCATTATTAACCATATCTCATTAGCCACTAGATGATCATTGTTCACCATTAACTATAAATCCATATAAATCCATATTAATCCCTATGAATCCCTGTAATTATCCCATTAGTATCCATATTAAACCATATAAAATCCATATAAAACCATATTAATCCCTATAAAACCAAAAAAACACCCTAAAAACCCAGAAAAAAACCATAGTAAATCTATAAAAAAAACATTATTTAAACCGCTATTAACCACCATTATCCACCACCATATACATCCATATTAAAAAGCACCCGATCCACCCGAAATCCCCATCCGCCTTGCAGGATCGTCTTGTTGCACCACGATTTCCCCGGCCTTGGAGCACTTGAAACAAACAACGGCCACGTCTATTTCACCATAGAAAAACTCTACAAATTCACCATTTTTCATAGGAAAACATGGGAAAACTCACTATTTCAATGGGATAATCATCATCTGAGTTTCAATGGCTGGTCAATAGTGGTTAATAGTGGTTAATGATGGTTAATGATGGTTAAAAAAAGGCTGGTTGGTGGTTTTATGTAAGCATCTTGAAAAATGATGGAGTGAGTTCGTCAATGGGAAGGATGACATCGCTTTTTTTATGAAATGGAAAATACAACATGTTTGAAAACCACCAACCAGATTATCTCATTAACCAATATTAACCACTATTAACCATCATTATCCACCATTATCCACCATTAACCATTATTAACCAGCCATTTGAAAACCACCAACCAGATGAAGGCGATGAATGCACCCAAAAAGATGCCGAAGTGGCGCTCCAGGATGAGCTCGTTGCTCGATGATTAATTTGCCCGCGTAATAACTCGAGGTTCCAACTGCTTTTTATCTGTTTGGTTAATTACTATACCCTCTGGTAATTTAACATAGCTATGGAAAATCACCATGTTTAATGGGAAATTCCACTATAAACAGAGGGTAATAGGTTTAACCAAGATAGTTATGGACTAATAAGTCGAGATTAATGGATATACACTTCGGCAGTCAAACATGGCAATGGAAAAACCGTGGACATCTCCTAAAACTGCAGGCTTTAATGGGACAATCATCGACATAAATAGGGTGGTTGCCATTGCTGCCACCTGTGATTACTGGAGATACTTGACATTGACTTGGAGGAAAACCGAACACTTGCTTTTAAGACAGGGCTCTTTGTAACGACTGGTCATATCTATTTATTGGTATATTTACAACATAACCGATGTATAATGCTTAACAAAATAAGACGAACATATCCAATCAATGGGAAATTCAGGAACCTAAATTCGAGGTACCTACCATATATAAGGCCTATACAAGGCCTATGTAAGGGAATATCCCCACAAAATATGGCCTTATATGGTACAGTACCTCTATTTTAGGATCCTGAAATTCCCATTGATCCAATACAACATGAACATATTGACTATAGCATGACCAACATGAACATTTTTCGGTGGAAGATCCAAGTCTTGAGCCCAGAGCCCATCAGCTCTTCACTGGTGGCTGAAAATCATACTATTTGGAGGTTTCTACCAAAAAACACATCATGAAATGTTGTGTTTTCTAGGCCATTGAGGTCAAAAAATGTTTCACACACATGAATCACATCCAATCTAATGAAACTTCATATAATTGAATGGTTATCCTAGCTTTGGTTCCAAGTGGTTGCAACAAGGCCGTGTGTAGCATGCAAATGTCCAGTAAGTGTCTCCGTATCTGCAAAAAGTTCATGGCAAAGGTCGCATCGTAGTGCATTCTGTTCCAATGGAGCTGAAGTGTCACCTGCAATCCCACCTCCATGCAGCAGAAGAAGCGCCAGCTGCGTCCAAACAGGACACATATGTCGACTCTTGAACACAGAGCCACAGCAGCAGCACGGGGACTCCTGGGAGTGCAAGTTGGTCAATTGTGCAATTTTGGTTGGGACAAATTGCCAAAACCGTCCATGGAACGTGCGCAAGTGAAGCTGCATGGATTGCAATCGTCCAACCCAAATGCCACATAGGCCACAGTAGTTGACAAGGAAATCGCAGGCCTCTCTCTCCCTGTGCACCAGGTGGAACTGTCTCTCAGTGAGCAGTGTGAGCAGCCGGTCACCCCACGGTTGGCCACGAAGCACCTGCAAGTCATCATCACTGAACAGCTGGTCCCCACGAATGGCACGTTCAGGGTTGTGTGCCATCTGGGAAGGCACTGTAGGCAGAGCAGCCTGGTTGGGCAGCCACTGTGAGGACACTGTATTGTACTGCACTGTACTAGATATAGTCTCAGTCACTGTTCATATTTTCGGTCCAATGTACCCTTCTTATGGGTATCTCGCATTGGCAAAATCACCCAAATATACTGATTGGTGGTATACCTACCCCTCTGAAAAATATGAAGGTCAATGGGAAGGATGACATCCCATCTATTACGGCAAACAAACAACATGTTTGAATCCACCAACCAATATAATATTGGTGGTTATATAATTTTCGCACACAGATCCCAGCATGGGCAAACCCCCATCAAATGGTTGATGGTTAATGTTGACATAAAACATCCCCATCAAGTAGCGATTGTTGATGGTTATTTCTCGCCGTTTTTTAGAAAACCCCTCCCAAAATCATCCAACATTCTGAACGAAAACTCAGTTTTGTGAAAATCGTTCAATGAAAATTCAATCCTCTATGACTCACCGATGAGAAAATGCCCAATTGGATCCTCCTTTCGCCAGATCCATCGCTCCGGGTCACTGCGAAAATCTGTTGCTCGAGCTCACGCACGGTGCGATCGATCTGTTCCTAGCATCAGGGCGCTGAAGAAGAAGCTGGATTTAACCACCAGCCAGAATAGGTGGTATTTTGAATCATTGGATTGGGGAACATCTGCAGCAAACCAAGGTTTTTACCATCACATATTGAGGTTTCCTGCAAATGTTCCCCTAAACCAATCCAATGATTACAGAGATGGGTTTACTGGGTACTGTGACCATTGAAATGATATACGAAATGATTAAGTTATAGATATGACTGGATTGCCATTGATACAATGATGATATATAGATCGAACAGTGATTTACCAGTTATTTTTCACTCTAGTGGCTACTTAATTACCCTCTGGTAAACGTTTACGTAACTATGGAAAATCACCATTTTCAATGGGTAGATCCTCTATAAATGGCCAAACACCATGTTTAATGGGTAAATCCACTATTTCAACTGGGCCATTTTCAATAGCAAACTGTTGACATAACCAGGTTGGGTACTTTTCTATCCATTTGGGGCACTGCTTCCCAGCGCGGCACCCCGCGGCACAGCTTTTTTCGTCGCGCTGTGCCGTGCCGCGGCAGTTCGTTCAGGCGGCGCAAATGAAGGCCCGTGGCGCGACCCAAGCCTCAGGTGATGAGTGTTTCCCAATCCGCGGAAGGTGATTTTTTTTTCGGTTTCATTTAATAGGGATAATGATTATAATAGGGAACTGGTTAATAATGGTTGATGGTTAATCATGGTGTTGATTTATTTTCAAGGTTATATCTATGAATATCCTATTATTATCCCATTAGTATCCATATTAAACTATTTAATAGGGGATACCCTCTGGCTATGCCAAACATAGCTATTGAAAGTGGCCCAGTGGAAATAGTTGATTTACCCAGCTACAAAACGGTGGATCTTTCCGACAATGAATGGTATCATATTTCATGGTCTCATAGGAAATGATCTAAATCTAATAGGGTGCTTTTGAAAGGGATAATGATGGCATATGCATGCTTTTTTTCTTGTTTTTTTGAGATAATGACAAGATAGTGATGGACCATCACCCTCCGGCGTAAATGGCAACATGGCAAGCTGAGGGACTTTGCAGCAAGCCATGGAGCTGACACCGGTTATGTCAAAGTTGCACAGCACATTTTGGGTTGACCCTCTGGTTATGTCAAAATTACTATTGAACATGACTATTTATAATTGATTCAACTATTAAAGATGGTGATTTTCCATAGTTATGTAACAGTTTACCTATTAAAAATGGTTAAATGGAGCCTAGGTCTTGGCAGAGCTTGTCAAAGAGAAGCTATGATCACTTTCTCCATGTGATTTTTGAAGAGAGATGACAATGTCGCCGACATCCGTGGGCATGATGAGGTTTGGTGGATCCTCTGCAGCGCCAGCCCATCCCTTGAACATCAGATTTGGTTGAAGTGGTCTGGCCTTCCATTTCCAAGCCTTGAGCATGTTGAGAACTCCGATCTTCTGGGTTCCATGGGGTATCGGTTCCCAAATCGAGCCACTGCAATGCCCTTCTCGGTGATGCGGAGTTTGTGCTGGCCTCCTGCGAGTGTGCTGTTTTGAAGCCATACCACAGATGTGGAAGCATCAGTGCCTCGTCCTTCTGCTTGACGTGGTTCCACATAGACTCCTCCACTGCCACTGAGGCGTTGAAGAGGAGGTACCAGAGAATCAGGGACGCGGACCAGGACCTGGAAGATGTTAGCGTCTTCAGGTTGCATCTTTTTGCCTTTAAAAATGATTCAATGTCAACGGGAATTTCAGGATCCTAAAATGGAGGTAGTGTACCATATAAGGCCATATTTTGGGGGTATATCCCCTTACAGGCCTTACATAGGCCTTATATATGGCAGATACCTCCAATTTAGGATCCTGAAATGGCCATTGACAATGGTTTGAAAACTGTTTACCAGAGGCTACCGCGTTTTCGCAAACTGGTTGGCCATTTTGGTTGTTGCTGGTGGCTTCCTTCCTCATGACTTCTTCGTCTGGAAAATCATCAGGTCTATCTATTTTCCATAACAGTTACCCTCTGGTAAACGTACAAAAAAACTAAGGAAAGATCCACCATTTTGTAGCTGGGTAAATCAACTATCAATGGCAATTTTCAATAGTAAACTAACAATTTGCTATTGAAAATGGCCATTGAAATAGTGAGTTTTCCCATTAAACATGGTGATTTTCCATAGTTTTTGTAATAGTTTACCAGAGGGTACTGGAGGGTAAACTCCCATAAAAACCTATGATTCTCCCTGCCAAACCATCTGAAACATGATCTGGTTGGTGGTTGAACCACCAACCCCTCTGAAAAATGATGGAGTAAAAGTCAGTTGGGATGATTTTCCATTCCCAATTGAATGGAAAAATAAGATAAAAATGTTCCAAACCACCAACCAGTTATAAAACCATATGAAACTTCCATTAAACCTCCATTTTTCGTGGCTACTTCAACCAGCCCAACGTCGTCACGTCGCTCCTGTGGCACAGATAACTCGCCAGGCTCGCGTAGGGGTCGAAACCTGGACATTGAATTCGGTAAAACCCAATAGTTTACCTACTTAGACAAACGATTTTGAACAACTTTATTGTATCCTTTTGGGGGTGACTACAAGAAATATAATATAATATAATACTACATAATTAAAATATAACCAAAAAATAATCTAATATAAAATAATCTAATATAATATAATATAGTGTAATATAATATAATATAATAAAATAAGTAATATATTATATATATGTATGTAATAATATGTATATATATATAAGAATATGTACTATATATATATATATGTATGTAATAATATGGTATACTATGCTAAATTGTAATATGATATAATATAGTATTATAATATAATATGTAATATAATATTCATAGTTACATTGAAGATAGCAGATTATCTATTTTACTGTGTAGATATACGTATATATATATATATGGTATGTTGTATGATTCTACTGCACAATGTAGATACCTTGTAGAATCATGGGCACTCCAGCTACTTGGATCATAATCCATGGGATTATACGCACGCAGTCACGATGCCTAGGGTATACCGGTATACCCATCAAAAACGCCATTTTAATGGGAAATTCCATGATTAAGCATCAATTTTGGCTCAATCTCGAATTAGAATTTTGGCTAAAAAAATCGAATTAGAATCATATCCACAATTAGAATATATATACCAACTGGTTATTTAACATACCCATGGAAAATCACCATGCTATTAATAGGTAAACCATCTATTTCTATGGCCTATCTATATAGGTGATTTCCCAGCTAAAAACCATAAAAAAAAACATTTTTTCTAGTGGGATCAATTAATGATCGACATATCACTGGTTGGTGGTATACCTACCCCTCTGAAAAATAGAAAAGTCAGTTGGGATTATTATTCCCAATATATGGAAAGATGTTCCCAACTGATACTAACTGGTGGTTTTAACGCATCTGAAAAATATGAGTTCGTCAATGGGAAGGATGACATCCCATATATTATGGAAACATAATCCAAATCTTCCAAACCACCAAGCAGATATTTCATTAACCATTATTAACCACTATTAACCATCATTAACCACCAACCAGTTGGATTATGGACATATCATGTCCCACACGAGCCGAGACGAGAGCTCCATCTCGAGCCGGGATGGTGGGCGCACCTGTGGGCCAAAGGCCATCGGGGTCCAAGATCAACGCTGGATCTGGCATGGTACCTGGCGGCATAAGCGGCGATGGCACTGGGGGAAAGGCCTTCCAACAATATTATGGTTAATGGTTGATAATGGTTAATAGTTGTTAATGTGGTTAATGATGGTTAATCATTGGTTAAAAAAGGCTGGTTGGTGGTTTTATATAAGCATCTTGAAAAATGATGGAGTGAAAGTCAATGGGAAGGATGACATCCCATATATGAAATGGAAAGATCCAGCATTTTCAATGGGTAAATCCACTATTTCAATGGCCATTTTCAATAGCTATGTAACAAATTAACAGAGGGTAGATTCCGGTGATTTCAGTTGCAATCTTCTATGGAAATTGGCCGATTTGGAAATCCATTGAATGGTGGGGGCTTTATAGTGGCCGTAACTGGAGCCCTATAAAGCCACAAAATCCAAAAGCATTTAAGCTATGAACACACCAGCCGAACATTGTAAAATGGTGTAAACAAGTTCATCATCTTGCTCCTTCTTGGAGTCCAGCAATCCATCAGTCGTTTTTCAAAGAGATTTCATCGCCGTCACTGGATAAATCATAGATACCATCTGGTTATGACTAACATAGCCATGGAAAATCACCATGCTATTAATAGGTAAACCGTCTATTTCTATGGCCTATCTATACCATGGCGAACTGTTAGTCATTACCAGGTTGGATAAATCTTTCAGAGAGCGGCCGGGGCAACTTTTTTGCTCGGATAAATCTGAATTCAACTGGCTTAATGGCGTTCAGTCGGGGGCTACGGTGCAGATACCCAGTTACGAATGGACCTAATGGCTTTGTATCCAACATACATAGCTCGAGCAGCTCTACTTCCGATCGGGATGAACTCATCGATCAGGAAAAGTGTCCGCACTGGTTGATGGGGGTTAGTCATTGTTATTTAGTGGCTTATAATGGTCAATCATGCAAAATGTGAGGTAATGAAACTATGGTCATGGCAATATTGGGTTCACCAACAACTGCAAACGGGCAGTATTGGGAACACAATGCCATCAATACAGCTGTGACTGTTCCCAACGTTGGATGCTGGTTTTGCGTTGATTTTTTTTGCACAAAGGGGCACATCCCAGAATTCATAGATTTTTTGGTCGTTCTACTAGCAAATGTCCAAACATTTCTGCGAATTCAGATCTCACAATTTGCAAATGGCACTCCCTTACCTGATCTGGCTGATTTTTATTCATTCAATAACCCGAAAATAGCTGAAACTTGAGGCAATGTCGGGGGTGATTCCCCATTTCTACATACAAACGAACACCATCATTCCAGTGACATCACGACGGGAGGTCATGATCAAATTCAGCCAGATCAATATCCCCTTATATCTCAATATATCCTAGATGTTAATAGAATAGGATGTTTTAAAAAATTAACATCCTCTTATATTCTATCCACGTCTTTTAAAAAGATGTTCAATAATTCCACAAAGAAATTCACCCAGCTTGCAGTGCCGCAGTGCCACCGACCGACCAATCCCATGGAGCACTGATGCATGACAGATTCAGATCCTGGTCTGACGTCTGACAGTGCGAAATCGCAGCAAAAAAAAATGGATTTGAAACCGACGTGGCTGGGAAATCTGACGTACTGGTAGTTTGCCAAGTCTGATTAAAACCATAACTGCACTATTAAACTAAGAGTTCAAATTGGTGATTTAACCAACAAAAAAAAGGTTTAAGCAACCAAAAATAGAGGTTTCACCAAGAAAAGTCGAACTGTGATTTGTTGAAAAAAACCACGTGGGATTCAACCAAGAAAACTCACAAAACCTTCATGTTCGGATAACTTTTTTGTGGGAGTACAATGGCATTTCTACCCTCCCACTCAAATTAGCCTCTGGTAAACTGTTACAAAAAACTATGGAAAAACACCATTTTAAATATGTAAAACAACTATTTCTATGGCCATATTCACTGGCTATGTTAGTTTACTAGAGGGTAAAATCGAACCCTGAAAATAGTGACTTTTCAGTGGATAATCAAGCCATATTCGCCATTTCCAACATATACAAGGTAAGGCCCCCATTTAGAGTACAAGTTGGTTTAAAAAAAATTAAAACCCTATTACTATAGTGATATCCCCCATAAGCCCAAACCATAAGCCCAAGTTAAGTGCATCAACATCACAACCAAGTTGGAGGCCTGGCTAACCATCAAACATATCCCATCCCATCTCATTATAGTTGGTTGATACCTCTGGTAAACTGTTACATAACTATGGAAAATCACGACTTTTCATAGATAAATCCACTATTTCTATGGCCATTTTCAATAGCTATTTTGACATAACCAGAGGGTAGGTTTCTCTGCTATGGGTTAGTTCACGATCCCCAATGAGCCGTAGGCCAGCTAGGTTTTTGGCCAACCTCCGAAGTTATTACCCTGTGTCATTCCACATTTAATGGTTGATTCACAGCATTTCCCACAATGTATCATTACAGTCCCTTATATATATAATATGTGTATGTATATATATATATATATATACGTATCATATTGGTAGTAAAACCCCCCATATCATCAACCAACGAACTGCTCATCACCCTTGCGATAATCCCCAATCACCCAGGTAGTAATTGTAATTCCCTACAAATAGTACCCAATCAACAATGCCATTTTGATCTATCTTGAATGGCTCACATATCCTCACCTGGTTGGTGGCCTACCCCTCTGAAAAATATGAAAGTCAGTTGGGATGATTAGACATTCCCAATCAATATTTTGGAAAGTCAATCCATCCATTCGATGGTTCCAGTCACCACCAACCAGATATCTCATTAACCATTATTAACCACCATTATCCACCACTAACAACCATTAACCACCATTAACCACTCATCTCCACAGCAAGCATCGAAGAAGAGCCACTCTTCAGCCTCCGCGTCGGTGTCTCGACCCTCTGGACAGATCACCTGCCGGCATCGAGGTAATTTCCCAAGCATCTGAGCTGGGGGATAGTGATGGTTCTTTTTTAAGCCCAGTTTAAGCCCTGCTTAATAGTGGTTAATGATGGTTAATAGTGCTTAATAGTGATTAATTATGGTTAATCATTGGTGAATTATGGCTAATAATGAAAAAAAACCTGGAAAACTCATATTTTCTATCTTTTTTGGGGCTACCAATCATTAATTTTGGATAATGGGAATATACTGCATTGATTTGTAGGGATTACTGGGATGATGGGATTATAAGTCATTGAAAAGATTGATCCCAGTTTTTTCGTCGGGCAATTCTTATCCCATTTCGGGATTTGAGTATGGGATTATTGGGGATTACAACCACTTACATGGCATTAGAAGCAATTGGCAACGATATGATAATGGGACAATCAGGAAAATTGATGCGCTGATTTCATCCATAGGAAACCATGGTTTCTACCATTAAGCAAATCTGGTTTCCTGTAAAACTTCCCTTGAATCAATTCTGGGATACACCCGACTAACGCTCCTTTTTAGATGGTTCTTTAAACAAAAACAAACCCTAAAAAGGTAGTAAACAGGCTTGGAGCGATCAAGTTACTAAGTGGCATCATGCTCAGGTGACATTCTGGGTGATTCCCAAATCAGTGGTTTGGTCCACTGTTGCGGACGGATTCAGGTCGTGTTTCATCGCTGGGATTCCAAAAACACACACGGACTATCCTAGTTCGAAGTGGTTTCAACTCGCTTACCAATGATTTACTGCACATTGGTTGAAGATTCGAAGCATTGCCAATAGTCTAGTCCAATTTGATGTCCAATAATTGGTAAAAAATAGGTTTGGGCCGGTGACTTTTTTTAATCCCATCTATCATCATAGAAACCTCTTGTTTTTCAGGGGGTTTCTGAAGAAACCCCGCTTTTTGAAAATCAATCAAACAATGGGAATTTGGGACATCTATGGTCATCTCTCTGGGATTCCTCGCAACCTCCCCACATCAAATAGCCTCCATCTGCCGCCCAAAATTTTCAGAGATAGATCCGACCATTCAGGGATGGTTGATGCAAACTATTCCCGTAAACTTGGAGATCTTTGGAGATGGTTTGGAATGGTTTGTTTAATGAATGCTTTGTTTTCTGATGCTTACCAAAAATCCACTGACAGTGGAATTCATTATTGGTTAAATTGTCAGCTTTGTTTTCAACCAAAACAAACCACACTTCTCATCCATGAGATCGGTGGTTCTATTAAACGATACAACACCATTCAAATCCCATATACGCCCACATAACACCATTGAATTTCCATGGTAAATCCCATCAACATCCGTTAAAGTCCGAATTCAAATCCCATCAAGATCCATTAAAACCCCTACAGGATGGGGCCCCCCAGTTGTAAGTTGGTTTATAAACCATTATAACCACCATTAACTATAGTTATATCTACCATAAACCAGAGTTAAACCAGTTATAAGGCAACTTAGCTATCTTGGGGGCCCCATCCTGTTGAATCGCATTAAAATCCATTCAAATCCATCAGCATCCCATGAAATTCCAAACAAACAGTCGCAAAGTCGCATCACTCTAAATCCATTAAATCACACAACCCTCTGGTAATTTGTTGCATAGCTATTGAAAATGACCATTTTATAGTTGATTTATCTGTGAAAAGTGGGAATTTTCCATAGCTATGTTAGTTTACCAGAGGGTATATCAATATTAAACCCATATTGAGTTGATTTTCCCAGCTATAAACCTCCATTTTCATGGGCATTTCCAATTAAATCACGCTAGATTCCCATTAAAGTCCCGCTAGGACCTCAGCACGAAAATGCCCCAAGCTTTCCACGGAACGCTGCCCCAATGAGTTTCAGGCCTCGATGCTGCCCCAATTAGCCTCGAGCAGACTTTTTTGTAACGCACATCTACATATAATGTCAACCCCGGATTTTGCTAAACCATAGTTTATTAATTGGGGGGTACTCCTCCAACAGTCATAATATGACACTTTTTATGGTACCCTCCCAATTAAACAATCTAGGGGTTTATTAATCCAGGGTTGACATTAATTATGATAAATTTATTAAAGAAATACCACCAAATCAAATAAGACATACATGAATATAAACATATGGATTTTCTCATCATCTATAATATTATTATATTATTTCTATCTATCTATATGTATAAATATTAATATATATATATAAATATATGCACAAATATCTATTATGATCTATATGTATATACAATAATTCACTAACCTGAATCTTGCGGCCATTTTGGGATGATTCCCCTTACAAGCATGATTCCAGGGTTCGGGAGAACAGTGAGGTCGCTATAATTTACCCAGATCCCATTATATACACCATCATTATCCCATTACATACATTATGTCAGCATGCAAATCGGCTACCCAAACAACGAAGCAGTGACTTCTATGTTTGTCCGTGTGGTGCGATTTACGGGTCACCACACCCCGAAGAAAATGCCAGGGCTTCGCCCGGCCTCTCCTCCCTTGGACCAGTCACTGCTTCAGGTTTTCCACATGCAGGTTAAATTAAATCCAAAGCTTATAAGACTGCTTTGGAGATTTGCCGGTTCAGTCAGGCACTCAGATCAGGATCTGCCCGGTGTAGTCTCATCAGCGGCCTGCATTCCAGCTGCGGTCGTCCCATCGCTGCCAGCGGCCATCCCAGCCTCGCCACTCATTGGTTTTGTTCCTTCCTCTTGGCGCTCTTGCCCCCCAGGCTTCCAAGTCCCTCAGCAATCGTCATCTTCTGCCTTCCTGCGCAGGGCTGGAGCAGCCCTTCCAGTCTTGCCAGCAGGCTGTGACCGACCTCTTTTTTCCCGGCGTTTGGCTTCCTTTCTCTCAAGCCATCCAGGTTGCAAGGTTCTGGCCTTCGGGTTGGTCCAGCTTCTTGGGAGGTCCTCAAAGGTCGTGCGGGGCTCTGAAGCTAGGAAAGCTTCATGGCGGCGGCTCGCACCCTTCCCTTTTGCATCTTGCAGCTTCACGGCGTGAAAAGCCAGCAGCCAAATCTGCCTCAAACTTGCCTTTGTGCACCTTTGGTTTCGCGGGCAGGAGGTTGAGGCGGAGCGCCTCTAATCTGGCACAGCATTTCTTCCATGCAGCTGTGCGCATTTGGCGTTTCACATCTTCAGGAGCCTCCAAGAAGGCTTGCATGTTTTTTCTTGTCTCTTCAAGGACCTTCTCATCTTCAGCTCTTTCTTCCTCAGCGCGGTCGTCCCCAAAGCCGACCTCTTCTTCAAGGAAGTAAGGAGTATAAGGGCTTTGGGCGGATCGCCCAGGTTGCGTGTTCGATGCCTCTTGTTTGGTAACGTCTGCATGCTTCCTTGCGGCATCTTCCCTTGCTTCTGCGGTGGTCAACCTCTTGGGCGGCGGACCTGGCGGAGGAATGGGCCCATGGCTCACTGGTGGCCTTTGTGGGTTTGACTGCAATGGTTTGGGCTGCGGAGCAAAGCACCCTATAGTGCCTGTGGCTGCCCGCATTCGGCTGGTATTTTGGGCGGCGGTGGTGCAAACCCATGGTTGAGCCATTCGGCAACACTGGCGTGAAAGTGATACCTTGAAGGGCGACCCCAAGGTAAGTTTCGGGCAAAGGCTTCGGCAAAATCTCAGTGGCTGGTTCCTTATATCCAAGGTTGGGCGGATGGGCTGAGCTAGCGGCTCGGTGGAAAACCTCGAGGAACTGGTGTACAGCACTGTCTACTGCGGCACCAAATTCTTGCTCCTCTTTGTTTTCCATGCTCGTAGATGCTGTCCCGGGCTCATCCCACATCCCGTCATCAAAACCTGTAGGAGCGTGCCATGGTAAATCTGAAACATCGCTTTCCACTTCAACATATACGAATTCTTCGTCATCATCACGCTGCTCCCAAATTTGTGAAGAGGCTGCAGTTTCAGAAAAAACTGGTTCTTCCGGAATCTCCCGTGTGTGCTGGGCGGCCCCACCTTCAGGGGGTGGTTGCTCCCGAGCAGGTTCTGAACTTCCTCCAAAAATTTGCGCGGGGCACGCAAATCTTCTTTTCCACCTGCCCCTGAGTAAGGTTGCGACGCTCTGTGCTGTAGTTCGCCGACCTCATTTGCTACTGCTCTTATTTGTCTACAACAGCATTGGCAGAGACTCCAGCAAGGCCGACAAAACACAAGAAGAAGATAAAGGAGGGCAAGCCCGGTGATGATCAGCAGGATGGCCAGACTGCCTCAAGCCACCAAAGGCCAGAACTCGCCGCAAGCAAAGACTCCAAAGCTATCCAGGAAGTATAGCCCCCATCCGCCTGCTGAGCTCAAGGTTCCTGTCTGCAATGGTGTGCTGAACCACCCTGGTCCGATCCAAGAGTGCACATCGTAGTGGAATACTGAATACCCCCAGAAATGAGCCCATCCTTCGGGCCTCGCCTCTTGCGAGGGACCCTCGCTTGCAAGCTTCTCCTCTTCACCTGGGTTCTCAGAATCAAACTAGAATGAGTAGTTACCACTTCTTTCCGCATCTGCAGAGGGGCCCTGCTCCCAGAGTGATACTCACTGCAAGTACCCAGGTCCTTTCTAACCAAACTAGACAGTGCTCAAAACTTGAGCCAAAATACATTATCCCATTATACTATATCCCATCATTCTCCCATTATATACAGCATCATTCCCTTCATTCTACAATTATTAATGGTGTAAAATGATAACTTATACTATAATATAACCAAATATAATTAACTAATTAATTAACTAATTAATTAATATCCCATCATAGGCTATAATTATATCTATATCCCTATGATAGATTATTGTATATGGATATAATGGGTTATATGGATTCATCTATTATCCATTTATATCTAAGATTATTATCCATAGATTGGCTATAATTGGATCTTAATATATAGCTGGATATTAATTAATTATTCCCATTATTATCCATTGATTATTATATCCATTGATAATTAACCACCATTATCCACCATTAACCGCCATTAACCATTGATTATCATTGGATTATCCATAGATTGGATCTTTCTGTTTGGTCAAAAAAATCCCTCGTCCAGTCGTCCAGTCGCCTTGGCTGCCGCCACAATGCGACCAGCAGCGTCTTGCACACCTCGGACGGATGCGACGCGGTCCGAAATCTCCAAAAATGGAAGTTTTTGAAGGGAACAAATCATGGGAAACCCCATACAAATGGTTGGAAATACCCAAGAAATGGTTGGACATACCCAAGAAATGGTTGGACATAAGCTTTAAATGCTAAGACATCCCCTAATGGTGGGGCATTTCCATAGAAATGCTGGAACATCTAGGAACTAATGGAGGTTGATAGCTGGAAAAATCATTGAAGCAACCGGGGGATTTCCCAGTAAGCCATGTTTGATTATACTGAAGGGTAACTAACAAAGAGCGGATTTCGCCACTAGAAACCAGCCAGTGATAGTAGTTTCTCATGCAAAATTGGCAGCATCAGACCCGAACTAATCATCAACCAACCATCATCTAACCGTTACTTCCCCACACTTTGGATGGTTTTAAATCCATCTAGACAGTGGTTTTTCGAACTTGCAACCAGCCCAAATATATATATATGATCATGTTGATGAAATATCACCATGAAATGCACAAAATTTATGCTTCCGTATCCTTCTTCCCCCCGTGAAATATATGAAATACAATGAATATCCGTTCAAGTCTTATTAACATCCATTGAAGTAGCTAGAGTCCATGAAAATCCGGTTAACATCCATTAGATCCCAACAAAACAACCTCTCCTGATCCATGAAAAAGTGTCGTTAAACTCCATTGAAATCTGATCAACATCCAATTAGAACCCACTAGATTCTATTGAAATCCGATCAACATCACATTAACATCCATTTAAGTACTGTCAAGATCACATTAACATCCGTTTAAGAGGTATTACTGTTTACGTTGTCCGTGAGTTGCCAATCCTGGTCCACGGCGACCGCAATTTGTCCTTCTTCATCAACAAATAGAACACCTGGGAGTTCCTGATGCGAGTTGTTTGTCGTGTGTGTGCAACAGGCAACCTGTGACACCAACCACGAGAAGAGACATGGAATGCATCGAGTGTAGTGGAAGAAGCCAAACTGCCTGCCACCCACCACATACTGGCCGTCGGAACCACACGGGAACGCAAACCACATACAATTCGGATTGGAGACTTGGAATAGATCTCTGTCTACATCACATGCCCAGAGATTTGGCGAGGGTTGCCAAGGCACTTTCTCGATAGTTCCATGCAGCAGTGTCAAGTTGGAAAAGTTTGAATTTAGGAAACTGTACACAGTATACAATCCATTGCGCCGGAGCGTCACCAAAAGCAATTACACAGGCATGATCCTCCCAGTCCATGATGTGGACAATGTGGACGGTCCGACGTTCTTGATGCAGTCCTATCAAAATCACACATCTATGTACATTAAAGTCCCATCAAAATTGTTGACTCAATAAAGCACGTCAGGGCTCTTAAGCATCCGTTTATGATCCGTACATGAAAGTTTATTCCTCACCCGCATATCCTACGATATTCCATTCTGGATGCTTAAGAGTACTGACGCGCTCTGTTGATTCAACATTATCCCAACATATTTTCCCAGTATATTTTCCATTATTCAACATACCAGTAGTACCGCACAAGGCGGTGGCGGAAGTTTCAAAAATAGGAAACCTATAGGAGAGGTTGGTTGTTGTGAATCACGGATGGCAGAGCGAAGCCACTGATGGACTGAAAGGTGCTTGAGGTCTCCTCTTTTTTTTTTTCTCTCTCTCTCTCTCTTTTTCTCTCTGTTTCTCTATCTTTCTCTGATTATCTACCTACCTACCTACCTACCTACTGATCTATCTGTCTACCTATCTATCTGTCTGTCTATCTATCTCCCTATCTATCTATCTACCTATCTATCTAGCTGTCTAGTTTTCTAGCTATTTGTCTATCTATCTTTCTGTCTGTCTGTCTATCTATCTATCTACCTATCTACCTATCTACCTGTCTATCTGTCTATCTGTCTATCTATCTATCTATCGATCTATCTATCGATCTATCTATCTATGTATCTCATCTACCCAGCTGGCCTCTCTCTCTCTCTCTCTTTCATCTAATTACCTATCTATCTATCTACCTATCTATCTGTCTATCTATCTATCTATCTATCTATATCTCCCTTTCATCTGTCTATCTGTCTAGCTGTCTACCTGTCTATCTATCTATCTGTCTACCTGTCTATCTGTGATGCAGTGTCATTCAGTGTAATGTAGTGTGGTGTAGTGTAATTTAGTGTCGTGGAGTACCGGAGTGTAGGTAGTGTAATGTAGCGTACTGGAGTGTAGTGTAGTGTAATGTCCTGTAGTGTAATGTAGTGGAGTGTAGTGTAGTGTAATGTAGTGTAGTGAAGCGAAGCGACATCTGAACCTCCAAAAGTGGTCCGATCCCCTAGTGTTTTTACCATTTTGACTTCGAAATGTGCTTCGCGCCACAACAGCGTGCACTTTTTCGACATCTGAACCTCCAAAAGTGGTCCGAACCCCCAGTGTTTTTAACATTTTGACTTGGAAATGTGCTTCGCGCCACAACGGCGTGCACTTTTTCGACAGCTCAACTTCCAAAAGTGGTCCGGAGCTGGTGTGTCTTGTACATTTTGACTTCGAAATGTGCTTCGCGCCACAACGGCGTGCACATTTTCGACATCGGAAGTGACAAAAGTGGTCAGGAGCTGGTGTGTTTTGTACATTTTGACTTCGAAATGTGCTTCACGCCACAACGGCGTGCACTTTTTCGAGATCTCAACTGCCAAAAGTGGTCCGCACCTGGTGTGTTTTGTACATTTTGACTTGGAAATGTGCTTCGCGCCACAACGGCGTGCACTTTTCATCTCTCATCTGGCCAGCTGGCTCCGCACCCGCCGCTTTAGCGAGCCTACTTTTCGACCCTCCGGAGCCCCACATCGCTACTTTCCTGCCTTTTCACGCATCTGCATCTTCTTTCTTCTTACTCTTCTTTCTTCTAATCTTTCTCTTCTCTCTGCCTCTTCCCTGCTCTGCTTTTCATCTGTCCATATTGTCGGAAGTTTGACTTCTAAACTTCCGTCGATTATCCCAGTATAACATATAATAAAATGGATGTTATTCCCAAAAAACATTTATGTTTATTGGTACATAAAGTTTATCCATTATTACCCCCGAACATCCCAACATACCACTGTTATTTGCTGCTCAAAAATCCATATGTATTTCATGGTGATTAAACCCCATGGGAAATCTATCCCAGGAATCTCTTCCACGAATCCCAATAATCCTAATCAAGTGGCTTAATGATGGTAGGTGAATGATGGGGAATATAAGTGGAATTCACCATGATGATTAATGGTGATTAATGGTGAATATGTCCTAAATGCTACCCATCTTTGATTAACCATCATTAACCAACTATTAGTTAACCATATTATATCCATCATTAATCTGGTTAGTGGTTAACCTACCCCTCTGAACAAATATGAATGGAAAAAATATAAAATGTTCCAAACCACCAACCAGTTATTCTTAATTAGTTCATCGGATCAATCCAATCAACCTCTCCTCTTGATATTGACCAGAATAGCATCAAAATCCAATCTTGACCAGTTGGGCGCGTCTGAAAGTAGGCTATCACCAATTCAGATTTGGAGTATCATCATGTTCCCCATTGGAATAGCCACTTAGGGAAAAAAGCCAACTTTTCGGACACAGTTAGTTGGTGGTTGCAGCCCCAAGTATAGAAACACCGGGTTAACCCTTCAATGATCCAATGAATAATGGATAAGAATATAGCTATTAATAGTTACTATAGTTGTTTCCTATTTCTAAGCTATTATATAATAGTTACTATAGTTGTTTCCTGAAATAGGGATACCCCAGTTAT